ATACACACTTGTGTGTGTGTTTTCCTATGGTGCCTTGAGGACCGTGGTCCCCACTGGCTCCATTGGAAAGTGCACTTGTAAATAAAGATTGACATCAGCAGTACATGGGCCTATTGGCCGGTGGTCAACTGTAGTCCCCTTCCAGACTTAGTGCCCACTGTTGCCATCTTGGACTTTATTGTTAAAGTGCCCTGTTTCACTGAGGCCTGGAACCCATAAAGACCAACGACTGAATACAGTAATTACAAATTTCTGTATTTTCTCCTCTACTTCTTAAGGTATACTGTTAAGCAGGGGAAGGACTCTGTGCGTTTGGCGTGCTTCCAAGACCCACGGAAGAAGATATTGGTCAAAAAAGACTGAAGGGGAAAGTCATCACTTCATTGGTTGGTCTATATACATGTAAAGGGATCAACTCAATAAAAGCTCAAGTGATGGGGGAATGAAAGATATTTTCATTGAAAAATAAGTAGATGATTTTTATACATTTTGATACATATGTAAGAAGAAATCAAGAGGGAACTAGCTTAATACTCTTATAAAGGGTCCACAAAATGGTAACATCCCTTGAGAAGGGGGTTTTGTGTCTCTATCTAGCTTCATATCAATTTTGTTTTGTTTTTGAAACAGGTATTTGGTGTCTTTTGTTGGTTTGTAATGCAACGAGAAATTCTGTATTCATGAGAAAAACTACTATTTTATCCTGGGCATGAAACCTCAGTGTTTATCGATTTGTTTCAAAAAGGGCTGTCCTAAATTTTGGGTTTTTTTAGTTATTCTGTAAGAACATGGCCACAAACCAATGGGCAGACCTTTCTCAAAGTTTATGTCAATGAGCAAATATTGGGTTCACAATTTGAAAATTTGAACCAAACCACAGAACCTGAATCATGTCTTCCATGAATGACGGCAGCAACAGCATCCTCAGTTATCTGGAAAAAGCTGGACAATTTTCAATGTTTCAAAAAAATGCACTTTCTAATACACATAACCTAAAGGAATATCATTTAGTTCTCACACATTGAAGGTGAGCGTAAGAGTTGCTTAAGAGTGTATCCCAGAAAAACTTCATCAGGGACCCTTTTAACAAGATATTCATACCATGAACCTTCCTAAATTTTCTAAAATCCTCCACTGTAATATCAAAATTGAGCCTCCTTTATACTTAGACTGTCAAGGGGCATCAGGCACCATTGAAAGCAGTAAGCTTAGTACTACTACATACCTACTTACCTTGCAATGGATTTTGTACAGAATATGGAGGATTATAATATTAGGCCAAGCAAAAAAATTATTATATACATACAAAGATCCTGTCTTTTTGAGGAAACATACGGAGGGGTTTATTAGTTGTATTATGAAGATGGCCGGCATTCTGTTTTCAAAATTTTCGAATAAGTAGGCTCGTGCAAGTTGTAGCCATAATACAGACACAGCCGTGTAGTGGAATTCAGAGATCGCATGATGACCTCAAGATGTAGAAAGTTTAAAAATATACTGTATAATCAAAGCAAGAAGTTCCAAGTTGCTTTTTAATTTTTCAACTAGAGTTGGTTGATTTTTTACTATGTTTGTTTGCCATTTTCTTGTAAATAAGTAACAAATAATTCAGCTGATATAAGGAGGGAAAGGGCATTTTAGCATTGCTAATTTTGCTGCCTACCTTCATGATGCTTATTCCCACACATTATGCAGCAGTATCTGATATTAAGCCAAATGACTCTGTCATTTCATTTTTTCTGAAATAAGATTTGTTGTAAACAATATCTTTCTTTCTGAATTTTGGGAATTTAAATCTGCTTTTTGATGCTGCTTTTATTACGTGCAAAAAAATAATTATATTCCTTGATTTGTTTGATTGCTCTGAGCACTTTTAGTAGAATCATGAAATGCTGAAACAACAGTTCGTTAATATCAGATTGTTTGAATACTGAAGTACTGGATTCTTGCTATATTTTGCTGTTTGCTTTATTTAGATATTGTGGACCAGGCTAAAATAGAGAAATGTAAGTTTTATTTATTAGTTTGGTAGTTGTGGGAAAATGTGATCCATCGTGGAAAAATTCCTCCATGATTGTTGACATTTTCAACCACAAAAATACCTTTTCCTTTCAGGGTGTCTTAAGTGATTTTCAAAAATAGATCTAACAGTGCTTTTTATAATGCATATGCTGGTTGCCAACAAATATACATTTTTAACATGTTTTCATACCACACCCAAAGAATTCAACCATTTCCTTCCTTTTGAAGTTTGGATTCAAATGAATTAACATAAGTCTTGGTTGAATAAACCCCTTGTCATCTGATTGGTAGATCACTGAATTGTTTGTCCTAGTTGCCCCCAAAACAGAAGGTTCTATCTTAAGGCAAATTGAACTCCCTATTCTCTGGTCAAATGAAACTTCTGAGATTGTAGGTGATTCATATTGGGATTTATTCAAGTAGGATTTTGTTCAGGTACAGAGATGCCACTGAGATGCAAAATCCCTGTACTAGGGATTTTTCGTCCAGGGGTTTATTCACTATGATAATGCTTTTGTAAAATGCTAGCTAAACTGGACACATTGTCATTTATTTAGTGACAGATTTTTGCTTCATGGAATGGTGCATTCCATTTTGCTTTGTAGAATGGTGCATTCCATTTGTCACTTCAGAAAAATCAGATGTGTCTCTGCATTTAAAAACATTCATTATTTGCAAATTGTCACATTTCTGTACAGTTCCAGACACAATATAGACCACTCTCATTTTGGCTGCAACTTGTATGGTCAGTCAGAAGTTGTAGAAATATCAGATTCTGGTTGGTTTTCGATTTCATGGACATTTGTCCCATTACTCTTTAAATTATATAACTGATAGCTACATGGGCTTTCAACACTTTGTGAATTTCTCATTACTTTTGAACTGATAGCCAACTGTAGTTTTTGCAGCCACTTGTAGGGAAAACAACTGTGACATCAAAAGAGCAGACCCAATATTACCTGTCTACTTTTTTGTCAGAAAGTTGCAGCTAATGAGATTTGAAGCTGTCCACATTGGAGGAAGCGAAATGGTTAAAGTTCACACTTGCAGCATGTGGTAATCTCTTTCCTGGGCTGGTGCAGTGCAGGTAAAATTGACTCTTCAGAACCTTGCCCACTCACAAAAGAGACTTACTTCATGGCAGACATACATGTCATTACAGCTGATATCACAGTTTGAAAATACACAGAGCTATATATGAAAAAAGTCTTCAGGGTCCGAGAGTAATTTGTATGAGTACATGGGTAACATCAAAATTGGGTATTTAGGGAGTTCAGTGTGGATCAAATCTGTTATCGTTTTAGTTTTTTCATATGGAGAATTGGAGATCTTTCAAAAAGAAATATAACAGTTTTGGAATAAACTTTGGTTTCTGCTTTTACATGAATACAGTCTACCTCTCCCCTCCCCTCGGAAATAAATTTAGAACTAAATAACTTATCACTCTCAACATGTTGAGGTTGGGCCAAGTTGCAAGTGTTGGAATGAACAAAGACGTAGTTCAGTTGAGTAGCTCATGACTTGTGACTGAATGATTTGCGACTTGAGTTTTTAGGCAGTTGGACAGTGCTGGTACGTGGACTGGTCAACTGTTCTTTTGAGTTAGCACTATGTTAAAATGGAAATAAGGGTTACATCAAACATTTTGTTCGGTGTGTTGTGTTACCTTCCCCCCCCATTGATGGATCCAGGGGGCCCCTCTCCGGCCCCCCCAGTAGAAAAATGATAAACTGGTAGGTAGACTGTGCTGTATGAAAGAATTATATACAGGGTACGCGAAGACTACCATTGGCCACCCTCTGCTCTGGTCACCATGAATATTGCAGATTGGACAAGAGGTCACCACACAGGGGTGCATCAAGTTAAGCATCTACACATTAACTCTGGTTCAATCCCATCTAGCTCACCATGTACCACCTGTCCAGCCATTGGAAGACAAGACACACTGGTTATTGCTCAGCAGGCCAAAGGCAGATGGGGGGAGGGGGCAGCGGGGGCTGTTAATTTCCCCTCAAAATAAGGATCCCCCTATTTTTCGAGAAACAATGAAAGAAAGGTAAATTATTTTGTGTGGTCTGTTTTTATTTCCCTTCCCCTCAAAATTGTGTAAAAAGGCCCCAGATGTAGCCTCAGCCCTAGGCCATAAAAGTCTGCATGGTTTTTATTCTTTAAATTGTCCCCCCCCAAAAACACACACACACACACACACAAAATCAGATCTGATTTCTTCCTTCTTGTAATCACTGCCCATGGGCAGTCTTATTGTTTTCGTATGAACCTTTTTGTATTATAAATATCAGTGAATACCTTCCCCTCAAAATACATTTTTATGAAACCATGGAGGAGGCGGGAATATTGCTGCTCAGCGAAACGTCAAGCCCGACGGCTGTTTTGTGGAATCATGGTAAGATTTGTTTACTAGACAAAACAGTAAATAGCTACCGATTTTGTCAACATGCATATATATCCACACGTGAACGTGCAGTGCACGATGAATATGATTGATGAGACAGAGCTGCAGTCGAAGAAGTCATCCGAAGACGAATAGGGGCTATGGAGGAAGTGTTTGAAAGGAAGATAAAATGTAAAGTGTTCATTTGCATTCAGTGTACTTATGATTTTTGCAGCACATCTCATGCTGCCAAAAACTAAAAGGGCTAACGTTGGGCCCACCTACATCAGTACATGTATGTACATTACGCCTGCCCAATTTTCGGACAATACCGTTGAGTGGTAATAATTAATGGAGGTAGGAAAACCTCCATGGTTAAGGTTTGGGCGGGGCGGGGGGGGGGTCACCAGTCATGTAACCCATGGGCATTATTTATGAATAGGCCTCTACTGAATGGAGTGTTAATATTGCTCTTTTTTTAATTTGGACGGGATCATTAGTCATGTTAGTATGACAATCCTGTCCAAAATCGAAAAAGAGGAATACTAACACTCCACTCAGTAGAGCTAGGAGCTAGCATAAAAAGCAAAGAAGGGGCCCCTTCCCATTTCACATGAAATACAAAATCAAAAAAGTTTTTCCCTTGTAGGCCCTACCATTTGGGCACCATGGCAGCCTCCAACCGGTAGTCTAGTTCATGTAGAATAATGGCTAGAATCATTCCAAATTTAGGCCTATGCCTATCTCTAGCTCTAAAGACAGCACATCCAACATCCTTGAAATGATTTGCAGGTAGGCTACAATGTGTTTCATCAGCCTCATTTCCATGGGTATGATATTGCTGCACCATGTTGGTTCCATAGAGCTATATATAAAAACTAGAGCGCTGACTCGTGTACAGCCCTGCTGGGCACATCCATGTTTTGCACAAACCTATGGAAAACTGGACATTTTGTACATCTTTTGTATGGCCACTTGTATATCTGCGTCTGTATTCTGAAATGATACATTAGCAAAGGCGATACATAAACAACCTGAATGCACAATCAGTAAATGAGCATTTCATTTAACTCTGCGCCAAAAAACCCACATGAATTGCACATAAATTTTGCCTTGACTTTTGTTTAATTGGGTTTTATCGGTACCCGATGAGCATGGCAGCTGCTGCTCCAGAGCCGTCAAGTCGCTTAACAATGACTGAATTAAGGAAAAGACTTTTTAATTTAGCTGAACTTGCTTATCGAAAGACAGCCATCGAAAGATATACATATGAAATCGGACGACCTAAGCTTGCTCAAATGTTAGGGAAACATTCGTTTTAAACTAATCAGCTATGGAATATTGATGTAAACAAACATGTGTTATTGCTCTGTACGTGTGAATCTTATTCAAAAAAGACGTACTGATGTTTGCGTATGTTGTACTTACGCATTGCATTGAGAATTCATCATTCGATATCCATTTTTATCTGATGTTGAATGTTCTATAAGCACGCACATGGATTCAAATGTCTGTACCCAGGATGATGGGCCCAGGCCCGACTTTGTTGCTTAAATTTCCACACAAAATATAATTTTAGATAGATGTGATACATTGAATATGATAATAAGGAGCCTAATTAATATTATAAATACAAACGTTTTGCAAAAATATACTTGAATAACTTGTTTACGCTTTGTTAACGCCCTTTAATGCTTATTGACGCTAAATAACATGACCCTAACCTGACATTGTCCAGTTAGTTATATCCCAACTGTGGCAACACCAATGGTCCTGGGATATGGGATATGCATGTACCAACAGTGGAGTAGGAAATGATTTTAAGAACATCAGCTCTGAGCTGAGCAAAACATGAACTGCAAAGTGTTTGAGAAACACGTCAATTTAAAATGCTTAGTAACTCATCCTGTAGTTTTTGTTCATTTTTGGTGGATGAACTCATAACTTTTCCAGAAATATCCTTCCAAACATGATCATCATCAACCCCTAAAACTTGTTATTGTGAAATAAAATGCCTTCACTCCACGGAAAAACAGAGCCACTGCGAGGGCTGCTAACATCTTGTCTAATTTCACTGAAGTACAAGATCAGGATCTGATTAAAGCATTCAATCCTTTTTACCAATGCTGCAGTTTGTAGATACTCTCTCGGTAGAGAATTTACTGGTCTACAGCCTTGGTAGGGATTACATGTACCACAGTTGGGAAAGCCACAGGTCAATAATAAATAGAGTAGCTTTTATTTTCGGCTTAAATTTTTTGAGGGGGAGTCGACGAGGTTAAATTTCAACTTTGTGAAATATAAACACTTAATTTATATCAATAGGCTTTTTGAGCAGTGGTGAAACATCATGCCTACCTTGGGATTATCTGAACGAATGTCTTCATGGATGCCATGATCCACAACAAGTAACATCTTTGAAAAAGGTATGTGCGAGAAACAATTGCCTTCCCAGTATTATATCATGCGGTTCCTCGATAACTCATTGAGTGTGACTCACCATTCCGAATCCAGGCTGAAGTGGGTCATTTTGATGTTTGACAATTCCTTTCTCCCTTTGTGAATTTCACACTCAACAGCGATCAAGAGTAAAACATTTGTGTGCTAAAGTCCGTATCGCACTGGGTTGCGACAGCTCGCAACTAGTTGGAGAGACAAATTATGAGAAAATCTGTGAACTTAGTAACAAGTTTTTCTTGGACTCACACTGATTTGGTACTTACGACACATTTGCATACGTCGCACGAATATTGCATGAAATGTCGCACGAACTCCAGCAAAATTTCGGCCAGAATTTGCCAGGAGTTCACATACATTTCTTGCGACTGTTGCATGACATTCATGCCTTTCTCATGCCTGGAATGTCAGATTCTCATTTGTTTCTTCAACCAGTCACAGTTTTATTTCGTAGGTCACCAACCCCTCACAAAATTGTGTTATATTTCTTGCACTTTCCTCCTCACAGAAACTAATTTGAGAAGGGTTCAAGATGGCTTTGAGACACCTGCGACAGCTCTGTAACTACTTTGAGAGAAAATTTGTCGCACAAATTTGTTTAACATGTTCAAAATTCCCACGACACAAAAGCGAGACCCTGCGACTGAAGAAGGAAAAATGAAAACCCCCGCGAACATTTCAAAACATTTTTGAAACTCTTTCGGGAATACTGTTTGCAATTTGCTTCCAGCTGTTACAGTCCAGTGAGATATGGGTTTAAAGGGTTTGGTGATTATGGGAATCCAAGCTGTGGATTTTGCATTGTTCACATGATTGTTCGATAATGTGATGTGTTGTTTTGAGACATTGGTGGAGATTAGTACAGAATATCTGATCTGTGATCATTTTAATAATGTGGAAAATGTTGACATCGCTCATAACAGAGAACTGTTGTACCATTTGGGTCATATTAAATTGTGACTTGACTGTTGAAACAATCCAAATATGGATGTCATTGGCAGATTAGAGCTAGAACTTTGTCTTTATGTATCAACCCTAGATAAATCATTTTGTATGTTGTTTGTTCATTCCATAAAGTAAATTTCTTAAATAATAGTTGAATTTTCTGTCTTTTGAAAAGTTTGGAGCAGTATTGAAGAAGCAGGCCCATGAGTCCATCTCAGCCACAGAGATGGATCTGTGCAGTGATGTACTGACACAGCTTTTTGTAGCTGTCGATCCTAAGGCAGCATTGCATCGGGGCATTGCAAGGTATGGTACTTTAGTTTTGCAGAGTGTTAAATTGCAGTAACGAGCTCTTTTGAATAACTTGAAGGTTAAAAAAGGGGGGCATCGTTCATTCACAAATAGAGTCCATTCATGCAGTATAAGGGATATCATTATACAGTAGTCTCATTGCAGACTTTTGTGTGTGTCTGTGGATTAGATTTCTCTCGATTTTTCACTCAAGAGTTTTATTTGGATGAATTTGCATCATTGGCCTTCTCAAATATTTTGGGACCCTCGCTGTCAAACAGATCCTTCAAAATTCACCTGGAGTTCTTTTGAGAACTTTGGAGGGTGATTGGGATGTAGAGCCCAGTGGTTATTTCTTAAAATGTGGCACGATGCATGTTGACAGTAAAAAAAATTGAGAATCTGCCATTAGGTTCCTGCACAGTGCTTTTGGAAGATTTGGGAGAAGGAACTTCGTAGCAAATTAACCTGAGGAGTTGGAATTTATTGTCTGTTTTTTTCCCTTCCATAAAATGCTTCAGCATTCTCCAAGGTTTCCCTGACAAAGATCACGAGCTTGTGTGTAGAAAACTCAGCACTGTCGTCAGTAATCAACTACTTTTATGTTCCAAGATGGATGCTAGAGAGTGTCGGAAGTGTGTGGATGTGGTGTGTGGACTCCTAGAAAACTTCCTTCTGGGAGAGAAGAGTTTATCATTGATGTTTCATCAAGGTAAAAACAGGAGAAATTGAAACTGATCAAGCTGATCTCCCCCGTAAAAAAGAATAGAGAGCACTCCCTGAACATTGATGAAGAGACAGAATGGGGGGGGGACATTTGAACACGTTTGTTAGTGAGCTTCTGGCATACACTTGAAGACCCTATGAGTTTTATTCATTCAAATACCTTCCACTAAATACAAGCAAACAAGTGCAAACTGTTGTCACTGGAGAGAGGGCACTGTGTTCCTTTTGTTCTTGACACTATTACTACTCTGTAAGTCCAGGTACTTACCACTTAGGACAAAAGACTGACAATTGAGGACGGGGAAACATTATTTGTTCCTTTTATGTTGTTTCCTGTGTGGTTAAGCAAAACGTGACATATGCAGTGTGTCTGCCCAGTGGGAGGCTATCGTGAGGTGAAAAAGAGCCCTCTGTCGTTCATGCAAGGGTTTCATTAGACTTTTCTCTCTGTGCTATATATCCTGCTGGCTATTTGAGTCTGTGCCAAGGCCCGTTCATAGTTTGCCGATAAGTAAGCGTGAATGCGATTTGGTGATGTTACATCAAATATTCAATATTCATTCAATTGAACACATTTTAAGAAAAGAGAGTTTTATTGCAAACATGCTGTGGTGTCAATATTCGCTTTGCTTTTGCATTTGCCTGAAGTATGAAACTGATTCCACATTTCCATGAGCATACATTCAGTTATATTTTTTGGTCGTTACTTTCTGTGCTACCACTGTTTTGGAAACCTTTGTCTTTTTGTCACGAGGGAATATCCTAACACTTGCACCCTCAGTTTTGGTTAAGCTCAGAACCTCGGACAATTCAGTGAGAGACTGCAAAAGTGATTCAGTTACTTAAAATTATTTTCTTTACTTTAATTTTTGTTCTTGCTGTCAATATTCTTTGATTGCAGTTGTCACATTTCTTGGAGAGGTCCTCCAAATTTTTATGAGATCTGCAAAGTAAGTTTTATGCTTCAAAATTATTTTGTAGAAAAACATGAGCTTAGGGTTTGAAATTTACACAATTCAAGAAATATGTCTGTGAAAGTTACTGTGAAGCTTCTGTTGACTGATGCCCGCAGTGTTTAAACCTGGCTTTATTTGGAGTTAAGTCTTGTCAGTGTACGTTGGTAAACTGAGGGTTGAACGGTTCTCCTGCAAAGGCCGAGTAAGAATAGTTTCGTGGCACGAAGAGAACCTACATGTATGGAGCAGTTCAAGCCTTAAAATACACACCTGCCTGCATGACCAACTCAGTAGTGTGCATGACCAAATTTTGTATGCGGAAGACCACAGTGAACAGTGTCTGCCTCTAGCTGACAAAATGTTTAGTGACAAGAACTAAATTGAACAACTTGGCGTTTAGACGATTCCATGGTTAAAGATGGAATGAATGGTGAAATAGTGATCCTCTCTTTAGAATTTCAGAATAAAAGTAGACTGTAAATTAGAAAATTCAAAATTTACTGCAACCCCAAGGGGGCTCATTGTGCAGTAGTCAGATCTGACATCACTTTTCATATGTTTCAGATGTGTGAAGGACACCATTGGTCAAAATGAAGCAATGTGCAACTGCATGGCAGCTGTCAAGGCCGTTATTTCGGTCATACAGAGATGTTACCAACAGGAAAGCCAACTGGATGATGCAAGAAATACATCTGGAACAATGGAAACAATGCTGCAGATGATGTGGGATATTTTATCTGATGGTAAGAGTCAACAGACAAGAAATTTAAAGGGTGGTATATCAAGCCAAACCCTCAGGATCAGTTAGCTCGGAACCTTTGTGAATCCTCCCTCAGTGCAGGAAATCAATCACATGTTGTTTGTACCCCAGCTTTTAAGGGGCTTCAAGCCCATGGAAAGTAGCATTGGCTGGATGCTGCTTTCCTTAACCCTTGGAAGTCCTCCAAAACCTTGTATTTGTGGCTTGCATCTTTTTCCAGTTCTCCGTGTACATAAGTGTTGTGAAATACTTACAATCTGTTCAGGACACACCTTGGAGTGGATGTGTTTGGAATTATTTCTGATGGATCGTTTTTCAGTCCCATATCAACACTTTTTTTTTTAAAATCAATGTGAAGACATGTCCATTGGGTTTTTTGACAGACTCCTATCTTGCTGACTGTCGGAGTGCTGCTGGCATGGCTTTGGTTCTCCTTCAGCGTTCACTGGTTTCTGGTGATGAGCACCAGCTTTGTAATGTGGTGAGTCATGTAACCATGCAGTTGCATATAAACACTTTTTCTGATGATTGCTTACAGGCAAATGCTCGATGGTTTTTATGTACCATTTTAAATGGTGCCAACCAAGTCACTTTATCTGCCACATTCACCAAAAGCTATTTATCAAAAATGCATTGTAGGTGGTGGGACTCTTGAAGTGGATGGGGAAGATACCTTCCTTTGCTGCTCAACTCTAACCCACTGAGCTTTTGTTCTAGAAATAGCATTGAACCTAAAAAAGTTCAGCAGATGTAATTTGTATCTACAGGGAGGTCACTGTAATTATCGGCACATGACTGGAGAGAGTCTGTCAAACTCCAGCAGGTTGACAGTGTTGAAGTTTGAGTCATTTGGTATGGATAGCTATCTGCAGTGTGTGGGTGACTCGCAGAGTGGTAGTACCAAGCCTGGCGAGATTGAACACAGTCCAACACAGGGTACCACTAGCCAGTCACTCCACGGAGCAACCGCTGTGTGTCCCCACTCAATTAAACTCCAACACTGTTACCCTAGGGCTTGTTCCCCAATCCAATCAAGCTGACGAACAAATTCATGATATGTGATACTGAATCAGTCAAAACTTGACAAAACGTAAAGTTGGTATTTAACAGACTTGGGGTAGTTAGGGTTAATGCATACGGAAGCTTGTGCTCATTGAGCATTGCTTTGACGAAAAATCTGGTACTGATTCACGGATAATGGAAAAGTTTACATCCTTTGCCATTCATCATGTAAAAGTCCTTTCTGCACTCGCTCCATTCATTATGCCATTATAATGGGGAAGGGCTAACATGTAATTTAGCCTTTTACTGTGTAGGTTGTCAGATGATGTTTTGCAAAATTGTTTTTGTTTTCGACTGTGGAAAGTTTGTAATTGTTATGTATCAAATGAGATGTATATGGTACAAATTGATATCATTTTTCTGCAACAAAAATGGATATTCATTTTTTAATGGCCCGAAGTTACCAATCTAAGAAATAGGATGCACAAGTTTTACTTCAGGACCAAACATCATTCCATTTTCAGATATACACAGCCCTCTTTGGTCACCTTTCTACATCTACGTGCCTGCTACCGCTGCCATCCGTTCAATACCAGCCCCCCAGGTTTGATACTGCCAGCCTCCCTGCCCAATCCTACCTCTTTGTCTGCCATGGAGTGTTGGCCATGCTGGACTCCAAGGACCTGATGGACCAGGGGCTTCCAGTGGATGGCCACTGCCTTCTATTTGATGTCCTGTTTCCTGAGATACTGGGACTGACAGAAAGGTTTTCAGTTTCAATATTTTTCGACTCCTTCAATATTGGTTATAGCACTTTGTGTCCTGATGAAGTGGTTTATGTGTAGGGTTGGGTTTGCAGGGCAAAAACTGGATTGAAAACGGATTGAACGGATCTTTTAGTTTGCAAGTAGAAAAACAACAGGTACCTTGATTTCTCTAGGTATGTGGAATTTTTTTTATCATAATCCTGGAACTTATTTCCAAACATTCAGGCCACTGATTAACTTGAATGAAAAAACATATAACTTGGATATTTGTGAGGTTTTTAAGCATGCATCGTTGGTTTAGAATCTTCATGGAGATATGTTACTTTTAAACGTAGCAATTGACCAATTGTGATTTCTCCACAGGTTGACAGAGCCTAGCTCTGCCTTGGCAGCAGCCCGAACACTCACACTTTGGACCTCCACAGCTGTAGTTGCCATGACGTCAGGTTCCCATGACAACAGTGAGGCCTGCCTCTTTGGTTCAGCTGCAATCCCACAGAAACTGATCCACTATGTGTGGACAAACTGGGACCATCCAATTGATGTAAGAAAAAAAGGTCCCAGATGGTTCGTTAGAATTTTTTTTTCTTAAATAAAAGCAATATGGCATTGCCATTGGTTTTATTCGTAACATTATTTTATCAAAAGTAATGTTACAAATTCATAAGCAGTGACATCTTTGATGCATGCATATTTGATCAATCAGCCAGGTGTACAATTTATTTCCTTTTTCAGGGGATACGATATCAGACAAAAAGCATCTTTGAGAACGTCCTGCAGCTACATGTCATTGCTCAACAGAAATCAGGTGAATGCACTGACTGGGTTATTTTAAAATTATAACAGCCACAAGGCTTGTTCAGCATTCAGTGTGCATTGAAACATTCTATTGATTAAAATATTCTACAGATCCTGGCAGGAGCAACAGATCTGTTGCTCGAGTCGAGAGATCCTATTTGTTCCGCTGGCTTCAGGTTTCACTTGAATGGTGTCTTTTGGATTCAGGAGGGAGCCAAGCGAAGTTATTTGGAAAGAATTTATGATTGGCCACTGTGCCTCTTTATCCTGAAGCACAGCTAAAATGTTTCATTAAATTGGTGCTTTACCCTCTTAATAAATATATTTACATAATATACATTTTTGGCATTTGCTGTTGCAGTGGTGAACCCACTCACGATAGGATTCTCCCAAAGTATTCAGATATTAGATTCGTCTTCACACTTTTGCATGTGCGTTAAATCTGTTTTGATATATTGTTGAGCCAGATTACAAGCCCACTGAGGATCAGTTTTTACTTGATCTGCTGGACTCGCTGATGGCAGTGAACTGGCACGTCAGGGGCAAGTACATGCCGTTGGGTTGCCTGGTAATCCATGTGGGAGCTGAGAAGATCTTGGCATCGTATCCCACAATGCCTCAGGAGCTTCTCCTTGTCTTTGGGGATCAGACGCTGGCACCCTATGTGAGTTGAAACGTCTTTCAGTGGACATTTTTTGGGACCAGTTTTTAACAGCAGCTATGAATGGGTTGGGCTGATTTACCAAAAATTGAATTTGGACCAGCACTTGGATCTGTCTCACTCTCTCACTCACTCTAGTCTCACTCTTTAAAATTACATGACATCATCGGCAGCTTGATTTGCGACACCTTTAGTACGTGTGCATTTACGTTTGAGTAAATGGCCTGCAAGAGAACCAATGGCTAGGCCAAGGTGGCTTTCTCATCAGGTTGTGTTTTGTGTGAACTTGGCAGGAAGTGAAGCGCACTTAATGAGTTTTGTCAATTACTAAATTGGGTGAAAAAAGTAGAGAGGATCCACGCTGTACTTGATTTGTAAGTCTTGTCAAAATGGACAAAATCTCTACAGTGTTGTTATTTATAAGACATTCATGAGATTCTTGGCCAGTTGAGTCCATATGCATTTGTAACAGGTGGTCTTTGGGCAATCGTCGGGATGCTCAAATCAGGGGACTGCTTTCATCTGTTTGTGCTGTGAACTCTGGGAAATTGCCGTTTGCTTGCAGGCTTGTGACCTTCTTGAAAGATTATTCACCCATCACAAGGCTTGGCTGGCACAGTGCAGGCCCGGAGCGGATGGCATTGGACGCTGGCAGAAGATGTGGATAGTGCCAGTGTTAGGATGTCTGTGCAATCCAGCAACAACAAAAGACCAGAAGACCTACCTGATTGAGGTTGGTGGCTTGGTGCTAAAATTTGGAACATTTGGTGGCTTGGTGCTAAAATTTGGAACATTTGGTGGCTTGGTGCTAAAATTTGGAACCTTTTTACCAGGATCTGTGTGCCTTGCTCACACACAAGTCTGTGTATTTAATAAGAGCATATTGTATTAAAACGGAGTAATATGAATTAACGAACGGACCAAATCATCTGGCTGAATTTTGTTGAAATATATCTCCTTGTATTCATGAAATTGAGATCATTATTCAGTACTTTCCGACGTGCAGTCACACAGAGAGCAACGATTGCCGAGCACAATTGTAATTGTTTTGATCTGTATTTTACTAAACTTTTCAGTGTGTTCATTACGTTTGTCAAAATATACCAGCAAATGGCCTTCAGTTGCTGTGGGAAAGTTTTTAAAGCATTTTCAGGAGATGAGAATCACTCAAAAGGACAAAAATGCACGATAAATCTACAAAATGCTCTTAATATCTTTTTTACTGCAGACCACACTTTACAGAGTTTATTCACTTTTAAACATGCTATACAGAACCAGTTCAATTTTTTTCTACATTTCATTTTGATTTCCCATGCTGTGTCCTAAATCTTAAAATTTAACAGAGCACACACGCAGCAGTTACATGGTTAATATTTTGATGCAGATCATTTTTGTGAAAAAAAAGTCGTAAAAAATGCGGGGAAAAAAATGAACTCCACACTTTTGCGTGTGATTGGTGTGATTGTGTGATTGAATTTTCACTTTTCCCCCTGCAGTATTGTGTTCCAAGGCTCCTGAAATGCAGTCCTGAAGCCCTAGGATTCATTGTGACACACCTCCACCAGGCCAATGGCAGCTCGTCTTCATCTATGGACAAGTCTGGCCTATTGGGGGCCCTTGTCACCTGCCTCAAGACAGCCCGGTCCATGGGTCTGATTGAGCATGCTGGGAAGACTGATGACAACTATGGCATCCACTCATCACAGGCTTGCCTATGGAGGGGTCTGGTACCTTATAGAAAACTGAGGGAGGCCCTGTGTCACAGAGAGAGCCAGGTACCTGGCTAGTTCCGTAGCGCTGTATCTGTTGTATTGCTTGAATACAGACAAAACAGTGCTGTAGTCAAATCCATCATGAGTCCTGTAACTAGTCCACTCATAAGAACAGTCATTAGTAATAGGGTGAACAGTGTTGATGGATTGCTTTTGTGACTGTTCATTTGAATAGCTTGTGACTTGACTTAAGACTTGAAGGCTTGTGACTGACTTGCAATGAACTTGCAGGGACTTGTGATCGACTCGACAACAGTGGATGTCCTTTAAAGTGCAATAAATTCCATTTGAAATCTCCTTGTGAATGTTGACGAACAGTGTAATGGTTTCTGGGTAGGTCAGAATTGATGGCCTGGGTCTTCTGTGCGACTGCAACAAGACGACTGAGGCTGTCTTGCCCGAGGAGCTGGCTTTGCTACGGTTCTTCCTGGTGCTGAACATCAACAGCCCATCACCATCTTTCAGACAGATGATGGGAGCTCACCTCAAGAAGGTGCAAGCGTTTCTTTGGCAGGTTTACAGACTGCTAATGATTTTACAAACATTGTTTGGCCGGGTCAAATTAGAAAACAATCACCCAGTGATGTTGCCACAAATTTTCCACTGTAAATTACACAAGGGGTACAAACTCAGGATTTCAACTTTAGCCTACTTCACAACAAATGCATTATGATGTCAAAAAGTGGCATTTATGGACACCTGTGTTTGCTTTTATGCAAGGTATGTAGCCGGTCTTAACCAAGGTTAGAAAGGGGGGAATAAAAAACAGTCTTCCCAAAGAAAAGTTTTATCCATTTCAATGCTCCCAAATCCTCCATAGTTGCTAGTTTTTATTAATGAAAAACAGGGTTTTTAAACAGGGTGGAATGTTTAGAACAATATTGTCTGTCATTTAATTGGTATTTCAGTTGGCATAAGATGCCACCTTTTTTCAGCTGTGGGCAAGGATAATGCCCTGTAACCATTGTTTGGCTCTCGCTGAATGCCATGAATATCCTGAGGCAAACATACGAAAGGCTGTACTGGACACTTGGGCAGTTGAATCAATAACATTTCTACTTGCATGCAGGAGGTTGGTGATTCGATTTATAATGAATATTCAAGATCAGCTGATCTAACTCGGACCAATCAGCCTGGCAGTTAACACTCATTTATGTGCAACTTAGACTTGTTTGCATTTTAAACACAAAAGGGCTTTTCTGGATTTAGGGATAAAACCCATTTGGTGAGCAGTAATCTATACTTGACCTGACTGAAGTGATACTTTGCATGGTGCAATATGGATGACTCTTTTGAACAAAGATTTTCTTTCTTTCTGCTCATCAGCTCTTTGTAAGAATTCGAGAAAGTGGCAGGGTATGTTTGAAGCAGATGGCCAGGCAGCAGAAGCACGGACAACCAGACAGCCTACCATGTTCCTCCTCAGAAGGCCAGATCCAGACTTACAAGGTAGGATTTATATTGCAGCCTTCCCTTATATTCATTTCATGCATTATTTAACAAATCGATAAGAAGCTGGTTATCAGTGTGTTTTCAAATTGTTATCTGGAAATACTTCATGGGCTGTTCTGTGATTCAATTTCAAATCATTCACCCATAGCCATTGGAAAAGCAGGTACCATTCCAATCTGAGCACTTTAAAATGTTGCACATCTACGTCAGGTTTCCTATCAGCGATGTAAGAACATTGTCAGGTGATGAACAACAAACTTGTTTGGTAACTCCCCTGTGAGGTTTAAGCTTAATACACCCACTTTTCTTAAAATTGGAAACTGGATTCAACAAGTGGCTAAGAGAGCTGGTACATTAGAGAAAATGTACCACATTGTACATTGGAGCATTATGATAACACTAGATAAAATGGAAATCTTTTCAACCTCCCTCTTTTCCCTTCCATGCGAAGTTTTTCCCCTCATGCTGAAGGAAACGACTTTGTTGCAGCATTTGTCCACATCTCCCTTTCTGCTTACAGGATTTCCTGTCTTGGCTGACCTGCTTTCTGTTTGAAGCCCTGAAACCAGGCAGCTCTTACCCAAGGAGGGCAGTAGCGCTGCACACTCTCAAGACGATGGCTCCAATTTACGGCTACAAACCCAAGGGTGAGTTGAAGTTGATGCTTTGCGCTGGATAGTTTCAGTGATAGTAGTGATACACACAGATATCTTACTGTAAAGAGGAGTAGGTCTTGTGTGGAATTGGATGGTACTTCATGATATCATCGGAGTGAGCGTTTGCGTGGAGAGATGAAGGGAACTTTTAGCCCTTGGAGGTTCACATTTTGAGGAGGAAGCCCACACCAAAGAAGAGTGTTTTAGGACTTTGTAGAGCTCACAACAGAGTCTTAGAATACCCCGGAACAAAGCTGTATATGCAATAAAAGAGCATTGTGATATCTTTAGATTAAAAGCCATTTTAATGCCAAAGCTATTTCCAAGGCTATTGTCATCATGTCTCCGTATACTTCCCATAGGCAAGGACCTAGACCTATCTGTAGACTACAGATTTGGCCTTACTATCGTTACTCTTGCAGGTAGCATATCAACACTCTTTGACCTGAATGAAATCTGGACTCCAGGCAACATCCAGCTTTTGTTGCACAGGCTGACTGACCCTTATGAGAGTAACAAGGTCATGGCCTTTGACCTTCTACGAGGTCTTTCACAAGAGACACTGGGATTAAGAGTAGGTTCTTGTGTTAAATTTTTGAGTGGTTTTGTTCAAGTTAGTTTCTTGAATCCCTGAATGTGATACAAATTATGAAATGATCATGTTGAAAATTATTTAAAATTGAGTCGTCATGTTAATGTGTTCCTAATATTGCTATTTGTATTTCAATATACATCAATAGTCTTACATCACACTGTGTTCCCATATACTAATGACTGCAGGTTGAGATGCTTCAAATGGTTTGGATCAATGTTTATTTACTTTTCTATACGTCTCTAATTTTACATTGCTTGTCGGTTCCACTGAGATCTTCCAATTGTGTTGTGGTACTCAAACTGGGGTTAGGTAGAGTTGATAACACTGCCCGTTCTCTCTGATACAGTGAGTACATAGAATTACTTTCCGCTGAAGCAACGTTTTCAGTACTGAAATGTATTGCATCACATTGTGTGGTAGATTAAGCTGCATTTTAAGAGATTTATAACCAAGGAAAGGTTTGCACTTTTAAAAATGTACGTGTGTGCTACTGGTCAGCATCCTGCTTTATACTTTTTCCAGAAGAAAGATCTGACACAGTGATTCATTATTTCATTGGTTTCTGGATGGTACATTGTAAGAATTTGGGAAGGTTTGAAATTTATGCGTTTGTTCTTGTAGGATGGCAGTTGTCTCCATCAAATCTACCTGGAGGCCTTGCAACTTGCCTCCAGCAACAAACCCCACAACTGTGAAACGGCTTCGTTCGTGCTTCGTTTCGTAGCTCTACAGCCAACTTCTCTATTGGAAAGAGGTGTTACTGACATACCTAAGAGCATCCTGGGGATTCTCACTGATCTGTGCAAGAATTTGACCGAGGAGGTGGGCGTGGCTAAGGACAGCTTATTGGAGGCGGCTGTGCAGGGGCCCATGTATGGAATTCTGCATTGCATCAGAGAACTGCTTGGAGATGTAAACCTGAGGTACAATGAAGTTTCAATTCACTTGTCTTTTTACTGATCAAAGCATTTTCCATGGTGACAGGTACTAAGATGAATTTTAAAAGAGAAAAAAAAGTTGAGTGAGGTGTACTTTTTGTTGGATTCTTATATATATATGGTTATGTTAATACTGTAGAGTGCTATGATTACGAGTGGTATTATTTCAAATGTTTAATTGTAACTGACATGTCCTTGGGTTGTCAATTTCTTCTTGATATACATCACTGAATGCTGTAGGGGATCTTGTTGTATTGATAGTCGGCCGTACTTGAAGACAGCGCCATTAATTACTTGCAGTTAAACCAAGTTTCAACTTGTGAAGTAAGCTGTAAAGAAAGATAAAAAAGAAATGTTCAGCTGTAGAGATAGGAGGAATATCCAGGTAGATATTCTGTCAGAGAACTCCAGTCCACTTGTTGAAGTTGTTAAGCCCAGGTCAAAGAGTTGGAGGGTAAGGACAGTACCACTGATTCAACCCCACTCCACTAAAGGATTACATTGTGTATTGGCTGTTCAATGGTGTCAAGAAGGAACTACATGCTTCGTCTAATTGCGTCTCTCTTCAAAGATGGGTTTGCGCTGGGGAGATGTAAATTAATTTTGGATTTTTGCCCTGCCTGATGTGTATTTAACACTGCATGCTCAGTGTATGCCCCTGAAGGCTAGTTGAAAAAACCCACAAGCGTACTCGGGTGGGACTCGAACCCACGACCTCCTGCTTACTAGTACCAACGTCTTAACCACTTGACCAGCGAGCTTGCCGGTGTCAGCTGGCTGGTTCGAATCGGATGATCCCCCCTGATTACTGCATTTCTTATTGTAAAAACCCTGTAATGAGCTAGCACTGAGATATCCAAAGATTTAGTGGAATGCACCCTGGAGACTTTGAAGGGAATGGGAATCCCCGCGCTGCTGCTGCGGCCAGGCCAGGTCGAATGCCAACCAATATGACTACCACTCTCTTGAAAAATTGCACAGTTCGACGCACAAAAATTGTGCATGTTCAAAGACGGCGCTCAACGTTATCTGTTGAGATTTAAAATATGCACAACCTAATAAAAATTGCACAAATTTAAAATTTGCACACTTTCATAGATTGTGCTGGACAGAACTAACTGCGTATCACTGGTTCACAAATGACTAGGAAATACAAGCATTGCCGTCAGATCGATATCAACAAAAAGAATTCTCAGTGTATTCGATTCGAACCAGCCAGCCGACACCGGCAAGCTCAGTGGTCGAGTGGTTAAGACGTCTGCACTAGTAAGCAGGAGGTCATGGGTTCGAGTACGCTTGTGGGTTTTTTCAACTAGCCTTCGGGGGCATACATTGAGCATACAGTGTTAAATACACGTCGGGCAGGGCAAAAATCCAAAATTAATTTGCATCTCTCTTGTCATTGTAGGACCATGTCCCATTCGGATGGCTGGAATGTCATGGTGTCTCAGCTGATCCAGCTATGCTTGGAAGTGGCTGAGGTTGCCTGCGTGGTCGTGTGTAACTCCTCCCCGGAGGGCTACGTACCTGAGGAATCTGACAGTGGTAAACCTTGTTTTGTCCTGTCACGTACATGTGCCATACTTTTACCAGTCTTTTCCATACTGTTTGTTTCACTCATATTGTGAGCCTGTGTGTATGCTCTATGGGATGCACAATGTGTTTGACCACATTACCTAATTATAGTATCAAAGTGGGCGATTGACCTGTCCAACTGTGGGGCTGTCAGCATTTCTTTGGAGATGCTGGCAGTGTTGTACACTGAAACATGCTGACGAGTTCATTTTTGCCAAAGAGTGGTACAAACTCAATTTTGAGTGCTTGTGTAAACTGGGGCATATCTCTCATATCGCCATAAGCAAATAAGCTGAAACCAAAGCATCACACCAAGAGCGCCCTCTTTAAAATTATGAATGTTATAAATACTGCCAACGGACATGTGTTTAAAATGAATAGCATTTGCTTGCACTGTGTTGGGGACAAGTTGTGTCTGTGAACAAGTCAGATAGCATCACCAGCCAGCTGTGGGATGGAACTTGTTGATGGAGTTATACATGTGAAATCTAGCAAATCTTGGGTGTATATATGTGGGTACCAAGTGTTAACCACTTGCCGCCAGGGTTTCCGGTACCGGACACGTATTCTTTGTTCGCGTGGCCGGGGTCTCCGAAATCAGACAAAAGGAACGGGGCCTTGTAACAAAAGACCGTACTCGTAACAAAAGACCAGGCTGCTGGGCATTACTAACATTTTTTCACTCTTAATAGTGGAGATAATCCAGCCTTGTTATTAAACACTATACTACGGTTTTGGGGATTTAGCGCGAGCGGATTACCACCAGGGATAAAGTGTTTCACCACCACAGCAATGAGCCACACGGTACCGCTGCATGCTAATCTGGCCCCTATTGAAAAGAGATCAGCAGCGCACTGTGCCAGTTTTGCGAACAAAAGAAAATTACTAACACCGCAATATCTGGGCTCTTTTTACAAGGTGGCAGGCCTGGCTGAAATACTCCAGTGTCAATAGATGTTGTCTGTCAGATTAAAGTAGAGACCAGATAGTCCTTGTGTGGGTGTAGGTGTCCAGTAAATGAAGATAGGAATTTTTAAATAATTTTGAAAACAGAAAAAAAATGATAATTATCCAGCCCCAGCATCATCAACATTCTATTTTCAAAATTCTTTAAAAATTCCCATCTTCGTTTACTAGACACTTACAAACACATGAAGGACTGTCTGGTGGCCCCTCTAGCCTGACAGACAAAATCTATTGACGCCTGAGTATTTCAGCCAGGCCTGCAGCCTTGTAAAAAGAGCCCAGATTGTGCGGTGATGTATAACTTTCATTTGTTCACGAACCTGGCTCAGTGCGCTGCTGACCTCTTTTCAATAAGGGCCAGATTAGCATGCAGCGGTGCTGTGTGGCTCATCGCTGCGGTGATGGAGCGCTTTTGTCCCCAGTGGTAATCCGCTCGCTCTCAATGCCCCAAACCCTGGTATACGGTTTCAAAACAAGGCTGAATTATCACCAGGCTGGATTATTTTGAGAGTGAAAAAAGTTTGTAATTCCCAGCAGCCTGGTCTTTTGTTCCGAGTACGGTCTTTTGTTACAAGGCCCTGTTCCCTTTGTCCAAGTTCGGAGACCCCAGCCATGCATATAAAGCATACGTGTCCAGATCCGGAATCCCCGGCAGGAAGTGGTTAACCATAAGAATCACATGGAAGGAAGAATTTTGAAACCCATAAAGCAACACTGACCCCAAAGTGTATTGTAGTACATCGTAGTTAGCGGTGTACGGAGTATTTATAAAAGCTATAGCGCATTTACAGTGTCAGAAAACAGTGTTGTGAAGATGTTTTTCAAGCACAGTTAAATCCCCTCCCCCACCGGGTTGCTTCCAGCTTTTGACCAGCCTGAACCAGCATCAGAAGAGGGGTGTCCCCCCTCCAACTCACCCCCAGCAGTCTTGGCCAGCAAGGCCTTGAAGAGAGTCACCCCACAGATGGTGCTGGTATGCTGCTGGCGTAGCATGAAGGAGGTCTCCCTGCTGATGGGACACCTGGCTCTCTCAGCACCGCTGGCTGGGGACGGCACTTGCCCTGGTCTGATCTCGCATTGTCAGGTGAGGACAGGCCAAGGTTCTCCACAGTTGGGGTCCCAGAGGGAGGCTGCAAGATATTTCAGTTGAAATTGTCATGGATTTTTTGAAAGTTGGGTACATGAGGGATTTTTGGTGTTTCGCACGAAAGAGTTGGTAAGATGTTGGAGATTCATTCTTACACAGTAAAGAGGTCATTGTTTCAAAGAAATTTTGTTGAACAAATGTGTTTTAGCAGGCAACAATTTTTTCCAAGAATGGAAGATTACCGGAATACACAATTTTTGGCTAGGAAGTGAAAAGAACTTATTTATTGCCCGTTGTTCTTTAGAGTGTAAAACCAGGCAATATTGGGCAAAATATATTGGACATCTATGTCTGATAAGTCAAATCCTTTCCGTTACCTGTCAGTCTTTTGAAATGTCACTCTGTAAACTGTTCCAGTCGGTCAGTGTGCACAGCCATCCTGAAAGTGACTGATCAGGTTTTGCTTTCTTTATGCCTCTCGTCAGCTGGAAGACATCGGCCATTTCTTCTTGCGGCTGCTGAAGGAATCCAAGCATAGAGGAGCCTTTGAGCTGGCTTATGCAGGCTTCATCATGCTGACAACAAGGCTGTGGAAGTAAGCATTCTTCTAGTCTAACATCTGATTCATCTCGTAGCTAACTGCTTCAAAGAAGGAGGTTTTTCCAAATTTACTTTGGTATGTTATTGCAATTTACCTCACATCAAAATGTGACTACTGAATTTTTTTTCTTTTATGAGGTTTTCTTCTGATACAGCACTACGTAATGTGAATTCAAAGCATCACCATGTGTTAACCATTGGCCAAGCAAGAGTTCAGATGTGAACACGTCTTTGTGCTATCTATTATGGGTTGCTGAAATTTGAATGTAAACCTCTGTGCACGTTTTGCAACTGGGCTTATTAATGTGTGTTGTTCTATAGATTTTTGAAACAAAAAATTTGTCTGTACTTGCTGGAATCTATATGGCATTTATGGGTTTTCTTTCTGCTGTATTGATTTGTGATAGTTTGATAGCATTTAAACCAAATAATTATAAGTTTTTAATTGAGTACACAGAAATCGGCCATCATGTTGTTGCAGATATAGACTTTGTAATCTGTAAGTTTTAAATCTTTGAAAATTTTGATTATGGGTTGCCATGACCACAAATACATGTACATATTGATCATGCATAGGCATGCCATTTGTTTATTGCGTATTTTCATTTGATTCTACAGGAACGAGTCAGTAACCTTGCACCAGCTACCCAAACAGTGGTTAGAGGGCCTTTTGTCTGACATTACAGCTAGCCAGTCAATGCTGTGCGCTACACGACGCAGTGCCGGGATACCTTTTGCCATTCAGGTACTTGGGCAGTTTGTCCAGTTGTATCCAGTTGAAAGCCATGTTTAGGGTGTGAGTTATCGGTTGTCTTTTGTTAACTTGGGTGTTACAGATGCAGGGCTTATTAAACCTGTGTTTTACTCTGCGTTTGATTCCTGCCAGGCCCTGGTCGGTTCGGAGCCTAGCTCCCAGGGTAAGAGTTGCTTCAAGCAAGCCATGGATACCCTGCTCAGTCTGGCTTTCCCCAAGTCTGCGGGAAGCGATTCCATCACCTCACAGGTACCGGGAAATAACTAGGTTTGGGATAAGAGTGGGACGTTTGCACGATTTTTTCAAACGAAAAAATTTTGAAATCCATTTACAAATTTTCTCAAATGTTTGAACGCAAATTGGCATTCGTTTTCATCGTAAATGCCTGTAAAATGTAATCTGATTTTCAGAACACTTTATTGCTCGGTCATGTCAAAGGAATACCATGAATTCATCTGCGGAGCTTTGTGTCAAATATTTACATTGTATACAATTTTTAGTGTTTAAAGTTTTCAATGACACCGTAGTTAGGGTGGGACATTTAAATGGTATGGACAAGTTTTCTTAACGTTTTTCAAATTAAACTTATATTCCCACCTTTAGTTTGGGGGAAGAATGTATCAATATTGGTTTAGAATTATTTATTTTTAAGTATTATATTTAAGTATGTGCCTGTTGTTAATTAACGATGTTGCATTTTGAATTCAGTTATACAACAGTTTATCGTGTCTCTTCTTCATTGTGTCAGATAGGTTTTACTTTTTTGTTTCCTTAGTTCTGATAGTAGTTACACAAAGGAATCTTTGAAAATAGACACACTTCTTGCAAATTGAATTTAGTATAATCAAGTTAACGTATCTTGTAACCTTTTCAAGAGTTTTGTTAGTTTTTCATTCCAAGGATGTTTAAATTAAGTATTGAATTCACTTTATGCTGAGCACAAAGCTGGATATGATGCTTTGGAGTACTGAAAAAAAATTGGTTAGTTCAGAAGTGTAGTTCTATGACATACATTCTTTTCCTTTCTCTCCTTTGCAGATACATGCCTTGAACATTTTGCGAGTCCTGTTCAAAGATGCCCGTCTTGGCGAGGATGTGATTCCGTACATAGCTGATGGCGTCAGGGCAGCCATTCTAGGCTTTGCTGCTCAGCTCTGGGCAGTAAGTCATTCTGGTATTCAGCACACTGATCCAGTTATTTTGACACTCCTCAGGCAGAGTGTTTGGCAAGTCTCATTGGCCATTGTACTGCAGCCCAATTCTCCGCTTCCAATTTGATGGTTGAGCCAAGTAGCAGAACACCACAGTTTCCTCACTGATGTTGGTGAACTGTTTTCCAAAAGGAGTGGCTGATTTTGGGCCCAATTCAGCGTGACCTGTTTTGACCTTATTTTGGAAGGATCAAACCATGTTATCACTGCTGCTTTTTTGTAATGGCAGGTGAGGAATTCATCCACTCTCCTATTCAGTGCTCTAGTGACAAGAATCTTTGGTGTGCAGAGGGCGAAACAGGCTCATGACAGGAGGAATTGGTGAGGCTTTATACCGGAATAAGTTACATAACACGCCAATTATTTCACGTATATCTGTGAATCTATGGAATCATTTCCAATCATATCAGTTGTCATCTAGTCCATTAAAGTCCGATGGTACCTCAGTACTCCAGTGTGCAAAGCATACAGTTTGAGGCAAGACTTGCCATTCCAATTTATAAAACCAACAACATGCTACGTCATTTACATTAAACCTCAAGGATATGGACCACGAGGTAGAAATATTGGCTTTTCATTTACAATGTCTGCTTTTCTGTGGATATATAAATTTTACTGCTAAGTGGTTTCTTTTTAGAGACATTTTGTGTTCCTAGTGTGCTCTCAATTAGTGCAAATACAGGAATTAAAGCTGTTTCGATTATAGAAACTTAAATGTTGTTTTTTCAGCATGACTGGGAAGGAGTTCTTTGCCCGGTTCCCATCCCTCCACCCATTCCTACTACAGCAGTTGAAGGAGGCAACCAGTGTGCATATGAGGTAGACAGTAGAGGCAATTTTTTTAGAATGGAATTGCATGGAGGCTGATCTATGGGCTGAATTGTGAATATCCATAACTTACCTTGACGGAGCTTGAGACCAATTTTAGTTGAGTCACTTTATTTGCACGTTTCCTGTATACCATAAAGTTTGCCAGTAAGTACTTGCCAAAATATTCATTGATATTCACTCATGCACTGTTCTGGAATGGTTCACTAGCGTTGTTTTGCTGTGAAAAAAAATTGACCCAGTTTCTTTTGACCTAGTTAACATTTAGTTGTTGGAATGAGAAATAAACTAATCGTTAGGGCTAAAAAGAAAGTTCACTATAGAGCGCTTTTGATACGACAACTGAGTCTTTGAACTGGTGGTGTTTCTGATCTAGGCTGTTGCATAAACAAGTTGGCCTTTGGTCATGTGACCAGATGGACTGGTACCCAAGTGGAAGATCCTGTTGACCTTTGAACCAAATTGAATCCTGGTCCAGAACCTTGGCGATTCTCCAGTCAATGGAGTCTTTTGGATGGGATGGGATGTAATTTTAGACTTTTGTATCTATTTCAATTTTGCAATAATCTCTTGTAATATTTCTGGTCTCAAGGTCTGGCACAGCGCGCCTGCACCCTAGCCTGTTCCCGGTTCTCCTGCTGCTGTCCAGGCTGTACCCATCGCCCATGGACGGGGCTCGCACCAGGCTCAGCATGGACCACTTTGTACCCCATGTGCTCAGGTACAATTTGAGCTCCACACATCGTAGCTGCGGTCTGAATAACAAGATTTTGTTATTTAATGATTTGGTCCTTTTATTCCAATTCATTGTGAATAGTTTGGAAGGTATATTTTGAAGGTTTAGGTACAGGCTTTGAACTCCTGTGTCTCTACCCTAGGAACGTTTTGTCCCAGCTCTGCTTTGTTTTGTTTAACCAAAGAATGTTAGATTTGTCTGTGATTTTGGCTAAACCTGTTCTTCCATTTGCTCTTTCGTCCTTTTCACAAGTGCACAAAAATGTAGGCTTGGAGGGGAGGTATTGATAGCCTATAAACACTTTGATAAACTTCAAAAAATGTCCATGGGTGGTCGTTTTCACGCCTACTGCTTTAGAAGGGATGTGGAATCAGAGAAAAGAATGCATTTTGTACGTTCTTCAAAAGCCTGGCATAAAACAGATGACTGCTCAATCTCAGTGTACTCAAAATTCCAACTAGTTGATCCATTGTCATGCCTGCCCCCTGTCTCTTAATCTGGAATACAATCTTCCCACTTTCAACCTGCTAAGAAGCAACTGAGAAGCAGTATTTCTTTTCTGTAATAACTGCATCCTTGAACAACATCTTACTTGAAAGTGGCCATCAGGGGCATTTATTTAGTGACAAGACATGAACGTTATTGTTCAGATTTCCCTCCTACTGTGTTGAACTCTTCACTTCTCAGTTGTGCAAGCAGTGCTGTCTACAAGACACGGGCCATTGCAGCCAGGGCCCTGGTACCTCTGGTCCCGGCCAGTCGCCAGCTGGACATGCTGAAAGATCTCCTCGGATTACTGCCCAGGACGCCAGACCAACCGGCCCACCACAACCACATTCATGGAGTGCTTTTACAGGTCAGTCAGGTAGATTTTGCGACCCCACTTGTCACGTTCATGCAGAAACAGTCCTTACTTGCCACAGCAGGAAGTGTACACAGGGATGTACAGTCGACTCCCGTTATTACGAGGGCCGGCGGATTTTCAGAATTCTGTTGTTATAGCCAGAGCGTCGTTAAAACCGGAGCGCAATTTTTCACACTCATTTTGCACAAGTTTATAGCCATGTACATGTCTGTTGGAATCATGTACAGGTACACCGATACCGCACGCCAAACACATGAAAAGACAGTGTTATGTGTCTCTTATTGATGCTGAATTTTTATCTAATGTTGATGAATAAAATGAATGAAAAGTCAAATATTTGACAACCTGGATCAGAAGAAACCGAGAATAGCCGAGTGAGAAGAAATATTCAAGTCCGTGCTGGTAAGTACGTCACACGTCCTGAGTGTACGTTTTGCTTTCGTCATGAATTGGCTAAAACCAGTCAGAAGAGGGCGCCACTATTACCAGTATGTCCGGGGGCGCAATTTCATTGATCGGCGAGATGAAACAACATTACGTTGAAGTTCTTACAAAGGTGCATTGATAAGGCATTGACAGACNATGGGAAATGTATGATGCCCGAATCGGGACAAAAGGTTTGTCGTTAACAGCTTCAGATAATACGGTTTTGGGAAAAAGTCGCTGTAAATGGGTTGAGAACAATACTTTTGCTCACATGGGGTCGGCACAAATCGTCGTAGGCGGAGTCTCACAATGTTCATGCACGTAATGACCAAATATTTCTCCATAGCAATGAACACAAATTGTTCGGGACTCGGAGAATATGCTTGTTGCATCTGGGTTATCATTATGACCGAGCCCGTAATAACGGGAGTTGACTGTATGTGGCAAGAGGGAAGAAATGGCTGCCTAGTTAAAAAAAGGCTCTTACTAAGTTGTTTTCTACACTTATTGTAACTCAGTAGTTTGTATTCTTTTAATGAACAAGTTTAGAATTGTGTAGGTCATTCAGAAACATCAATGCATGCTCATATGGTTGGCCCTGTTGGGGGGACTGTAAGCCGACTGACACTCACCAAACATGTTCAAGCTGCCGTGACGTCGTGTGCTTTCTTCTCAAATAACACTGCTCTTTTGACACAACGACTTGGCTCATTGCTGAAAAGGTATGCATGGAGTTCTGTGCTCATATAAATGATCACACTTTTCCCCAGAATCTCATGTATGCACTTCTGGAGAGATGAGGTTGTCACCCGATGATGCGTCTCTGCAGTGGGCATTTCAAAATTGGGGGCGGGGGAAACAACCAACAAATGGTGGGGGGGATGTGCCCTCATTTGCTTTAATTGTACCTGTGGTCGCATACTCCATGAAGTGTTAGTAGAAAGTCTTCGAAAACTATTTGAAATCAAAGACGGTCTGTCAGGGACGGTTTTCTAATCTGGCTGTTGTATGCTTCACAGATTCGGGAGATTCTAGACTGTGCCATTCAAATGGCAAGCAGTCAGCAGACTTGTGCAGCCCTGGTAGGCGTCATGTCATCAGTAGCTGATTGTGTCTGGCTTGCATCTGAGTATGTACAATTATGCATGGTACTTGTCCTATCTGCCCTGAGCTGAAGTGCACCCTCACCGGTGAAAGAAAGACCGATGGTACTATATTTTCCAACTGGGTTCTTGCGCCCGTTCGGCTTGCATGCGAAGACAATAAATTTCAGACTAAATTGGTGGCGCGTACTCAGCATGCGACGCGTCAAACGCACATAAACTTGTGCGCCTATGTAGTAAGTGCGTACCAAATAACTGTCAGTTATATTTCAAAATACGCCCTCTTTAATCCCTGCTCGGAGCGGATAAGGACACTTTGAGCCTGAGGCCACTACTAGTGGTCTAACTTTGCCCAGTTCTGCATACAGGAAAATCAATTCCGCTAATTGTTGATTGGCAATTGGTCAATAGTCTTTGCTTGTCATTGGTTTTATTGCTTTTTAAAATGATGGCCAAAATTTGGGGGAGGGGGGCCATATTTTTGAATTCAGATATTTTGGACTTATGTCATCTGGCTACTTATTATATACTTCAGGAAAGACCCAGTGATTGCTCATTAGCTGAAGAATGTCTGTCCAGCCAGCCAGACAGACCTTCATTGTACACCACAAACAAATCTCTGTTTGGCCAGGTACAAATTGTAGAGCACTGCCTTTTTAGGATTGACCAATTTTGGGGATCTTGGATGTTTAAAAGTAAAGCTTTCTTACGACACTACAGGCTATCTTCAGCTGCCCTCATTTACTTACTACCAGCACAGAAATCCAAATATTCACTCAGAAAAGTGAGAGGATTCCAAGACGTTTTTAAACCTGAACCTTTTCAGGGCTTCATGACTTTGCCCATATACCATTCTGTAATAACAGTTATGTCTCTTCTACTGAGAGTGTAACATCATTAATAGCCACATACAGTTACTTCACTGAGAAAAAGTTTCAAAGCAAGGTTATAGTTGTTAAGCTGGTTAGCAACATCCTCATTTTACTTGTTCCTTTCCTGCAGTGACAATGGGTGTTGTGTGACCCGTGCTTCATTCCTGGACATCCTTCAAACCTTTCTGTTCAACACCTCTTTGTTGTCAACGGCCTTTAACCTTAGAGAGGAGCCCCTAGAGGATCTTAAAATGGTGGTGACTTCGATTGCTTCGAGGTATATCCAAAATCACAGTGCTCTGACAGAACTGAGTTTACACCAGCCTGGATTTATCACACTGCAGACAACATGCGCTTCCATTTGCTTGAGGCAGAGATCTCATCAAGAACCTCAGGAAATAGCTCCTTCAGCAGAGCCCATGGATGCCATAATGAAACCTGTGGGTTCACGGATTGCTGAAAGAAAATTCCAGGATTTACCAACAGAGTCTAAAGTTGGTTTCAAAGCAGCACACAGGTGCGATGAGTACCGGTTAGAACAGTCACCTGAAGCTATTTTGGTCAGTCTTCTCTGCTCACCGTACTATGAGGTCAGAGAGCTGGCCTTAAATCACCTGATTGAGAGCTGCCAGAATGGTCCCTCAGAGAACGTAAGCAACAGTCCTGAAGCAGTGATCACGTCATCCAGTCAACTCTTTGAGAAGCTGGTTACCATGGTAACTGAGGAGGAGCACGAGGTTTGCCTCAGTCGGGTAAATTATTCAATCTACTACCAGGGGCCTCCTGGTCACCTGGTGTTGTCAAGTTTTTTAGGGTGATGATACCTTGCAGTTTGACAGTGGTTTTTGTAGATAAAAGCACAGCTGCAAACTCTTTATTCACATGCTAGACTATTGCTATTCGCATGTAGCACACCCAAACAAGTGTAGAAATGAAGTTGACATTTTTTATTCTTAAAGATTCGAGCAGAATTATCTATTCATGTTGAGCAAACTAAATACTTTTCCTACAGTGGCACTTTAAGGCAGATCATTGGGCATGCAAAACTTGTCCTTGAAACTAACTTGATTTAAAACAACATCATCTTTGTTCCAAGCTGTTTATATGGTTGTATTTACCTGTATCAAGTATGATAAACATACGTCAATTACAACGTAGGTAATGAACTTCCAATATCAAGAAATGGGATAGTTCTGTATAGAGTTGACCAGTGAACTATGTGGATACATATCTCCCACAGGTTTATGAACTTCTGAGCTACCATCCCATGACTTGTCAGTTTCCGTGGCAACTACCCAAATGTCAGATGGGCTGCATTGAGTGTTTCCAAATAGCAATGGGTGTTGCCTGTCTGCCTCGACAGAAGTAAGTAGAGTTGTGTGATATCAAGTTCTCTCTGCAGGAGCTGTCCCTGATCATCAAAGACTTGCGCAGACAAGAAGTGCCTACAGAGAATTTCTTTGATCGTTTAGAGCACTGCACTGTAAGTCAGTATGAGCAGTGGGAAGCTCTCTGGCTTGGATACTCGGAAAAAAAGAGTGAGAAACTCAAAATTGTACATCTCACATTTGAGTGAACTTAAAATCTGCAATGCATATGTTCAAAGAAAACATACAGCCATAAGATCTCAATCTCTTTTTGCAGTATTTCTATAATTTTTAGAAACAATACCAAGGTTGTCTCAGAAGTTGGTCAGAGGGAACGTGATGAAGAAGAAACCTATTGAGAGAAGATGAGGTTTAGTGAGTAGAGGTGGGAGGAAAACCCAACAAGGATAGTCCTGGGAGAACTATCTGAATCAGGCAGGGACTGAAGACCTCATCCACATGTGGGATTGGAGCTGGATGAGAGTTATGGAAGGAGATAGAGAGAATTGTCACTGCACAAACCTGACTTGCTGGGAGATGTTCTTATGCCTAGTTTGTTGTATTTTTGTTTCCCGTTGTGGCAGGGAAGATTTGATCAGCTCTGTCATCCAGTTCACTACTTGTTTAGTTCCAGTGGTTCACTCTGAATTACTTTCAACCAAGGTAAGCCAGTTGTTATGTAACAGTTGAATACCATTTCAGGTTTTTATGAAGCAATGAGAATTAAAAAAAGATACAGTGATACATTTGCTAATGTTACCATCTTTTATTTTCATGTTTAGATTGGCACTGGGGAGTCAGTATATAAACTCCTGCACGATTGGGCACTTCTCCTGGATCAGTGTAGTCAGGCTGGCCAAACTGTCCAATCACGCCTCACAGTAGTGAAAGCCATTGGCTCACTGGCAACCATAACTTTGCTGGACCTTTCAGAATGTTTAGGTAGGTTTTGGTCAGGAAATAACGGCGTCATATCTGTCAAATTTGACATTCAAATACCAAACGTTATCATTATGAGTATACTGTTTGTCACATTTTCAGTTCAAATTGAAAGAATGTTTGTTTTTCAGGGAATATTCCATTTGTGCTGTGGGGAGCTATGATGAGATTTTTACAGGATGACGAGCTGGAGGTCCAGCAGGGAGCAGTTTCTTACATTGTCAAGCTGGCCATCCATGTCAACCTTTTCAGTGGTAGGTGCTCACAATGGAGCCATTACGCAACCTTAAGTTGAGAAAAAAAAAATTGGAAATAGGAATTTTGGAAAATGTGACAAAGACATCCCTTTTTCAATGTTACTTACCCCAAATTCCAGTTATGTCCATGTCACTTTCAGTGATAGATCGAAACACCAACATTTTGATCAACCATCTCTGTTTGTCAGCTGATCTGTTCTCACCCTTCCCTTTGACGCTAGACCTGCATGATATGGACACCCAGCCATCTTTGGGCCTTCATCTTGGTATACAGCTCTTCATGTCGGTATTCACTGAGAGACATCCGGCAGACTGCCTTTGTAGTCTCCTCCAGTGGGGTATGGGCAGGCCAGAGGAGACCGCCTCAAATCACGAAGAGGAACCCCAGGTAAGCTATAGTTGTCTTGAATATCAACAGATTGAAAACCTGGCCTGTACATAGGTTTTCTGACATAATTACAATTGAAACTTATGAAATTAATGTTTTCCTTGCATGCCATGAACTTGTCAAAAAGATCACTCCGCCCTTAGGAGTACACGGCCATGCAGACACTTGAAAAATGGTCATTTTTATAATCTTGGCATTTTACTGTTGTCCACTACAGTTTGAAGGGCCACCAACATTTACACATCCTGTTTTATAAGAAATCCATTTGCACGGTTCACATCATTTTGTTGTTTTGTTTGTTCCTCAGGACGAGAGACTGTTTGACCAAGGGGAGGCCAACACCACCTTTGAGGGTGTTCATCTGGCCCAAATCATCAGTAACCAACTTCACGCTGTCGCACTGTGCTGTTCAGGATACACCTCTGACCCCTGCATCATTGCGAAACCAACAGGGAAAGATTCTTGTACCGAGGACCCAGAAACAGGGAACAATCCTTCCGTACAAAGACAGTCAGCTCTGTATGAGACTGTCCCCACACAGACAGCAGTTTGTGATGAAAGCAAGGCTATCGCCTGTGCAGGAGATGTGTCTGAACTGCCTCCCAGTCAAGATGGAAATCAGCCAGAGGATGAGATTGGGGTCCCCTCATCAGATTCGAAGGATTCAGAACCATCTGCTCCTGACAACCACCATCAAACAGGAGATGACTTCTTGTTCCCACCCTTCTCTCTAAGACTGTCGGCAAGTGCCATCCATCACCTCCAACAAGCTGCGAGGGTCGGGTTGCTGGACCTTGCCACCAGGCTAGATGAGCGTCTCCAGGTCTGGCTGCCGGCATCGCCGTTCCTGACTGCCCGGGAGTGGGAGATGCAGTGCGTGGAGTGCTACAAGATTCTGCTATGCAGTTTGGCACTTACAGTTCTTTTGTCAGATGGTGTTGAAACTAAACTCAAAAAGAGATGGGGTCAGTTATTAGAGAATGTTGGGACAAGATTCCAAGCATGCGGATTCAGTTCCCACTGTCCGTTGGTGACAGAACCTTTAGAGAGTCTAAAGCTATGGTGCATCTCAAGCGAAGATAATTAACAGAAGTTGATGCCTATGTTTACCAAATAATGTCGTCCTACTGTGTCTGCCACACTGCAACAAGGCCTATTTCAAAAGAAGCATTTACTACTGTTGCATTTGCTTCTTTGGTTATAAGGCCCGGGTTGAACTCAAAACCACAGGATAATCATCTGAATATGGAGATAGAAACACAAAGATTTAGCAAATGTGCAATATGGTTGGTTTTTTAAACCAAGGATCAAAGACTTGTGTGTTTTTACATAAGATATCAGTAGTATTTTGTTTTTTTCAATTTTTTTGTTGTAATTCTGCAGCTCTCTCATTGGTCAAAACAGAAGTTCAGTGGTTATGAGAATGTCTACGGGAACATTAGATAGAATCTCTGTTGGCTAATCACTATGTGCAGCAGTGACAATGCCAGTGGTGGGTTGAAAGGGAAAGAACTATGTTGGAAAGAGACAAATGAAAAGAATAAAACAAAAATGTGAACGCCACATTTTGGGATTTGTTTTGTCCCATGGACAACCTTTACTATACTTGTTTTAGTAATGTTTTTATCGATTTTGTAAATAGCTGGGCTGGTTTAAATTTCATCATTTCAGCCGTTCCATGTTTTCAACTCGTCCTAAAAATCTAAATTATTTTTTAATCTATGAGAGTCACAAGATCCCCTTCACTGTTATTTTATAAAACTAGAGTAGTGGCACTTTATAAGATTGCATTATTACTGAATTAAATTTTCATCAAACCTCAAATCTTGGCTGATCTGCATGATTTTTAATGAGTCTGACTGCATGAAAGTACATTATTTTTGTTATCTTAAGATAAAAGTAGGGTATTGGTAACGTCAAGCACAAGTCAATCACACGTGTCAGTTTACAGGACTTCTAACTTGACAATGAATGATTTGTGATGACTATAATGGTGGATGATAGTTTTAATATCCTTTTATCCCTGCCGTGGTGGCATTGACTGCATATAGATTAGAATAGGAGGCATGCACCATTGAGACCTCTGAAACAGCTTGGTGGACTCTACGCATGTGGAGTGTTTTGGACACAGCACCCCAAACTCCTTCTTGACCAGGTGTGATATTTGATTGTGGCGGTGCCCAGAAACCTCTGTCCGTGACATTTTCCATCTTCACTCTTGGATAGTCTTGTTTACCCAAGTCTCTTAATTGTGATGACAACTGTGATTTGAATCACCGTCATTTCCACAGCTCTGATACCACACAGGAACCCTCAGATACCGACACCGCTTCATTTCGTGGACGAAATCGCCTCCCTGTCCTTTACTCCTAACAGAAGCTCCGTCACCCCCGCTGCACCCACCCTCTAACCCACCGGCCCTGTCAACCAGACAAGAAGCCGTGCCCAGCGCGTCCTGTGTGCTGCCGAGTCGCCGACCGCGAGGAAGCATCCCCTGGGAGAACTGCTTCTTGAGAGTTGCCCAGCTGCGGGGCGTCCGAGGTGTCCCCTTCGTTGGTCTTTGGTCAGGAAGTAAGAGCTTGGGTAAATCTGTCTTGGCCTGGGTGCGATGGCAGCTTGTACTCCGAGGTTGAAGACGGATATCATCTGTTGTGGAGTGTAGTCAGTGAAGTAAATTTTACAAATTCTTCTGCATTTTTCTGCATTTTTTTAAAGATGAAACCTATTTTTCTTCCATAAAAAAAGTGTTTTTGGAAGGCAACTTCGCGAAAGGGTCATATATTTTTCCATACAAGAAACTTCCTGTTTCTCAACTTACTTTCCTCCTTATCCTTGTCATCCTCTCTGTCCACCACCCTCACGGCCAGACATCCACCGTACAGATACTCGGTATGTGACACCGCCGGCAGCCAAGCCCTCCCCTTGGCCTCATTGAGCTCTTGGAGGTGCCGAGCGGCTTTTCTCTCTTCCCTTTCGCAGTGGGCCAGCTGCCACCGTCTGCCCTTCTCGATGTGGCCCTCCAGCCTCTGCAGACGGCGTTCCTCCGCGAGGACGGCGGCTGGCACGGCTCCGTACTGGTCGATCCGTTTTGTGTAGCCACCAACGGGGTACAGGGCCTTCGACGCCTTTTTGGTTTTAATTTTCCGATGATCAATCATCACTTACGTCCATCGCTACTATATGATGTTATACTTTGAATTGGAACATTTTATTCGAAAATCGACATTTTATTCGAAGGGAACGCTATTGCCATTTTAAGCAGTTTGCTCATTGCGTTTGCTAACAGGACGCGAGAAGAAAATTGCGCGCACGCTGGCGCCACTTAAATTCTGTGGGAGATTCGTTTTTGAATTGACAACAGGCCCGTGGATGTTTTTAAACTGAATAAAAATAATTCCATTTGGGTGTCGATCTTCCTCTAGCAAACCACAACTTTTGTTAGTCTGTAACCCTCAACACAGGGAAGAAATCTTCACGAAGCTGAGATAATTTTAGAGTTCAAAGCATCGGAAATTTGTTTCACGTAACAAATTCCATATCCTAAGCCACCCAAACATCCACTTGAATATAATTTCTTGTTTCAATTTTAAACAGCTCCAGGCGTTTGAGATGTGCCTCAAATAAAGTCGCCCTTAGCCTGGAGTTTTTCTACCCGAAGCCGGCTCCAGAAATGCGACAGAGGTGTTCCTCGGGCATTTGGACGAACACATCAATCTTCTGTGCATCTGAATCTGAGCAAAAAACCTAGTGACTGATGATAATCTTGATGGCAATTTTTGCCACGACGGGCGGGATCAAACCCCCTAGCGTCTATCTACTTTGCTGTTCTCTTTGCTGACCACTTCTGCAATATCCCAACCAAACGGAACAGTCCACTTTTGCAAAAATGTATTTTGAACTTGCCGTTTTCAATAACAACTCGGTCGTGCGTGGCAGAAGTGGGGCTCGAAATATCAATGGAAAGCCGAGGGGTTGCTTTCTACCACACAACTTGTCAACCTGATTAACCTCGGCATGTTCAACCCCTAAAGCTGGAATACCTTTTTTTTTACATGCACTGTTTAACAGCTGGAGTCTGCCACAGGACGTAACTCTGGAAAAAGAGGTGTGTGCACCTTAGAGTTCTAGCATCCCTAGGGTAGAAATTACAGGGGCTGAGGTCTGGATGCCTTGGTGGCCATTTGTGCAATGATTCAACGCCATGGGCTGTCCTGTATAGACGATGAGCCAGAGCGCCATCTTGAGCCCACGGGCGCCTAAACACATCATCCTGAACCTAGAAAAGGATGGGAATGGAATCATTTAACATTTCAAGTTAACGTCAGCCGACGACGAGGCTTTTGCCGTAAAGGCTACCACACAATTACTTTCCGATGTTAGGTTGCGCTCGTAATTGAAGGTAACTGGGTGTTGTTTGGAGTGTACTCTCGAAATATCGGGTGAGTTGACTTTTCGGTCGAGAGAAACTCCTGCTTCATCGCCAATAGCGAGATGATCTGCCTGTAGCTGCCTACACTGACAAAAAAATCATCCGTCTTGGCAATTCGATAGTCTGTCTCGCACTGACATGCGGGTGGACATGCTGCTGAGCCCCACCAATTCGATGTTTTCCGCTGACCTCCTGTCCGGCGTGGCCCAGAATGCCGTTGATTAAGATTGGAGGTTGGTAGCCTCCCTCTTGAATTTTCGCAGGTTTTTCCAGATGGTGCTGGCTGAAAATGGGTAATGACGTGGGTATCACTCTATGAAGATCACTCATAACCCTGTCAAATTAAGATTTTCCGTCTTGGAAGTTTGATGTCTTTTTTTAAGAACATTTTTAACTTAAAGCGTTTCGTACTCAAATTTAACAACCAGCCACACTCCATTCAGTGACGATATGGGAATCGGGAATTAGCCCGTGAAGTTCCCGTTTTTAGTTGGTCGTTGAGCAATGAGTAAAAGGCAATGCTTTGTAAAGGTGTTATGTACGGCTTACAGTAGGTGATGGAATTATGTGAGCTCCAAAAATGTCCCCACCCCAAGAAAGACGTATGAAGGTACGTAAGAAAAACACCTGGTTGCATGTAAATAAGTGAGTGTGTCCCTTAAACTTAACGTGTGGCTAATAAGACGACCTCCAGGGATTATGGACACTCCTAGCACGTTTTAGTGAACCAGGACTACAATAGTTCTGCTAAATAACATGTTATGTGATGTATCTGATCTGTGATGTAGTTCTTCAGACACATTTCTCTGCCTTGTAAATGGTGCCTCTTACATTACAGTAAACCTATACGCGTTTATCTATATGTACATAGCAAACAGTTGTCACAGTATCAGGTAAATACACATGAGAAAATCTAAAAGCGCCAAACTCACCTTCGTGTGCGTCCGAAAATGATATTGCGTGTAGATTGTGCGTCAGTTTCTCCGTTGGACCTTCTTTTTGATTAATTGTTCGGGGAGAGCGCGAACGCAGTCCCCACTATCAGAAATTGTACTCCCGAGTTCCCCACATTTGGGGGAATCGCAAGGGTCAACCCGCCCGAGTGCAATGGCTAGGCCTCGCCTTGGGAGAACCGCCTTTTTGATCACGGTGTCTCCTGAGCCAGGTAAGTATGATTGATGATGGAAACTTTGGCTACTCGAAGTTTGGAGGTATTAAAAGCAGTCACGGTGGTTCACTTTGTGCTAAAATCAGGGCGGTAGGCAAAGTAATTGTCCTCAACTGCGCAAGTGCATCACCTTTCATATGCAAATGAAGTAGTATTGTCAAGATGCGGATGCGGCTTTGACTATGAATAAGGAACTTGGCTCCTAATCAGACAGGCACTTGTAAAAGATACAAAGACTTCATGCGTAACGGTGTGCGAGTGCATGTATATCATCTCCAGCCTCCACAGCCAAACATTTCTGACGCAGCCGTAGGCCTACCTTTATACAAAATGCAGTGTTGTTTGCAGAATCACGTAGGCCTACATCATACTTGGAATAGTCGACTTTGACCAATCCATTTTTAAGTCTTCCGAAACCTTCATCCCACAGTATTTGTTGACCTCTGATCAAACGTCGTTGAGAATCCTAAACAGTATAAATTTACATCCTCTGATGTAAAATTCCATTAAACCGACACTGACGGCATTAACTGCGGCATTTTCGGATTGATAAACCTATCCCAACAAGCTTGGTGATGATACGTGACACGTCTGTTTAACTGACTAGGGGTTATAGTGACGTTGCGAGTCCATAAATTAATATAACTTTGTGTCTGGGTCTCATCGGAGACTGCAAAAGCTAGAGCGTGTGCACACTTACTGACAACACTTTAGTGAAAGGTCAAAGTTCCAGAATTGGACGAGAGGCAAAATTTCAAATGTTAACACCCCCTTCCGTCAAGCACCATTACCGACCCAATGGGTTATGGAATCTCTCTGGATATTTTCCGGAGTGAACTCAAAGACCTCGTATGAATACTGAGACTGTGACCAGTAACGCCTTCAAAGATTCTGATGGATGTTAATGAAATGCGTGTTAACGCCGTCTTCTGTATGGATAATGTGCACGGAGTCTTCAAGAACCATGTGCGTTGCACTCTTGCGTTCAGTGTCATGTTAAGAGCCGAATTCCTCATCGTTCAAATTCAAGGTCCACCATTCTTGACAATATACGGGCAAATATCCGTATAAATACACGTCGCCCAACACTTGCATATCAAAGGTTTACGCGTGCGCAGTTGAGGACAATTGCTTTGCCTACCGCCCTGAGTAAGCACAAAGTGAACCACCATGAATGATTTTAATATCTCCAAACACTGAGTAGCCAAAGTTTCCATCATCAATCATACTTACCTGGCTCAGGAGATACCGTGATCAAGAAGGCGGTTCCCCCAAGGTGAGGCCTAGCCATTGCACTCGGGCGGGTTGACCCTTGCGATTCCCCCAAATGTGGGGAACTCGGAGTACAATTTCTGATGGTGGGGACTGCGTTCGCGCTCTCCCCGCACGATCAAGTAAAAGGAAGGTCTTAAAGCTGCACTTATGTTCAATGCTATAGAGCTGCATTCGAATCCTCAATTGAGCTCATCGCCTGATTGATTGTAGAACAAGTTTTTCTCATCTAAAAAGATGAACCAACACGGCAGTTGGAAAGTAAAACTGGATTGGAGGGTGATTTCAACCAACATCTTTGCTTTTATTTCGTGTTGTTTTCTAAGGGCTTTGGTGCTTATATTTTCTAAATAAGTATACCGATTACTTTCTTTCCTACTCACGTATCAAGTATTATTTGTAAAAAAAAATTCCGGGGGGGGGAGTTTTCCTTGCCCCCCCCACCTGGATATACCAAAGACGACTATCAACGCAGGTTGCCAAGCATTATTGTACCGTATTTTACAAGGTTTCCTTTCAATTTTGTTTGAGGGCGTCCATGAAAGAAGAAATTACAATTTCTGACAAAGTTACCTGCTTACTCTAATGACTAACGTCACAATTGTAATAAAACATATCGTAGTCTTTTATGTTTGGTTTTGAAAAAAAAATCAAGGGGAAACGGGACCAACAGGATATCCTAAAAAATCGTCTGATACAATTCCATTCATTAGAGAGTGTAATTGAAAATGAATTCTAGAAGCAAGAATGGCTTTTTGACCGTTTATCCGACGAGGAGCATTTCAAGTAAAAGATTCCCTGCCTGGCGCTTGTAAAAACCATACAATAAATGTTGATAAAGCGCTTACCTTTGCGGCCTCGTCAAAAGTTGCCGAATTTCCGTACATGGGTCTCATCGGAGTGGTGGTTACCAACTTATTTTAAGTACTATAGAGGACACTCGAGCAGGACCAAACAGCTTGGGTACATGTATAAACAAAGGGCAACAGCGAACATGGACTGGCGCGCTTAGTACAACGCACAATATGCACTGATACAACTCTTGCTGTCGATCAAACCTCACTTGGGTTAACGATGATCATGATTTGGAAAAGGCTAAAATTGCAGTGCAGCCTTCTTTTCCAAACGACTGGACTTCTACTAAAAGTGTTACCAAGAATTACAATGAACTTGCAATCTAAGGCATCTCACAATCGCTTCCCACACCTCTTTTATTGACCTTAAGAAACAAACCATTCCATAATAATTTACTTATAGCTCCACTACTTCAACACGACGCTTAAATTTGGTCTGCCCGATGTATGGATCTACAGAAAATGTATCCACCTGTGATAGGCCAACCACCACTAGAAAAAACTTCAAGACACTGATAACTGATTGTCTTCTAATGATGGGTGATGACAATTTCATCTGGAGAATGACCACAAATAAGCGTTGACACTGATTTGCTACTGTTTTCGTGAGCCAGTCTTACACTATGCAACTTATTGATATAAGACGACACAGTAGTAAGGACTTTCGCATGTCAATTTTAATGGGAAACCCGGCCAAGCAGTTCCTGTTAGATATGAAAATTTTCGGACAAAAACCATTTCGTTTTTTTGACTAGTGGTGATTTGAAGGAGATCAGTACTGATATGCTAGAATCATTCATACCCAGGATCATCTTTGAATATCTATTGTAAAAGAGAATATACAGCAAAGTATTTTTATTGAATGTTACGGCACATATACGAGACAAAATGTAAACCACACACCAAGTAGATATGTAATTGCTAAATCAATCACTGCTATATTGCATTCAGAGGCAAAAATATTGTCTAAAAACTTAGTTATGTCTTGCACATGAAACATGAGTTTAACCGACCGATGATTTACCATTTGACTTATTTGTACAAAAGACACTGGGCCTGAGAGTATGTGTTCAGTGTGCACTGCAAAACGTGTGAATTTTAAGGGGAAAACTCCCAGCAGTTGCCGGTTTTGTGTTGGTGATTTAAAGGAGATAAGTACTGATACTGAAGAGAATATAAGCAATATATTTTGATTGAATGATATGGAACATATATGTAACAAAATGAAATCCACACACCAAGAAACATCGTACTGCTAAAGCAATAACTGCTACGCTGTATTCTGGGGCAAAAAATATTATTCAAAAACTCAGTTACATCGTACACCCGTTTCAAATAGGTGTTCTTAGGGTAGCACTGAACCAAATAAAATTAAGAGAGACTAGGGTCAACCCAATTGAATTGTTTTACCAGACAGACGAACTTAATACATACATTTGCATTGGGTTCTGCCCATGAAAAGAGTGATGTCTGAAACCAAGTCGCTCTGGTGTAGTTCTGAGTGCCTCAAGGTGTCAATCTTTCGCCTGCTAGCATGCCTGGTCGTTCCTAATTGTTCCTGACATTGAACTTTTGCGGTACTTAATTCAAAATTTGCTTTTAATTTGGTTCGGTACAATTCCAGAATACCTGTCTTCACCTAAAGTGAAGTTTGACAAAACATGAGGTTTATTGAAAGATTGTCCTAGATGTGAAAAGTTCATCATAAGACTTATTTGTACAAAAGACACTCGACCTGAGAGCATGTTTTTAACGTTCATAAGAAACAGATTTTAGTACCCGAAACATTCTAAAGTACTGCTAAGTGAAATGGCAGAATCAAACTCCTGTTGACTATTGCCAGTGGATGTTCCTGGTGAAGCATCAGGCACGAGCCCTGTGAGGGTTAGTCACGTTTAAGCTCATCCCGTCATAAACAGGCCCATCCACTCCCCAATGTCAAGTCCGTTTGGCTGAGGGCAAAGGTCAAGAAGAAACAGAACAATTAGAAATTCATCAAAATGCTTGGCGTCTGACAGCAAAAATGTTAGAGGTACTTCAGGAGGATGCTCCATTCGGCAAATGTATTACCTATTTATTACCTATTTTGTTGTTGCACACAGCAGTCGGTGTGAGAAAAAAGTCATACATGAAGGATTTTACTTTGTTTACAATTGATAAACAGTATCCACAGTAATTTACTTCAGAAAAGGATATTAAGTAGTGTTCACTTTAGGAAGTAGACAATTAAACCTCTTCAGATGTCACCAAATACTAAAGATTTGTTTGTCCAACTAATGTTGCTGGCTCTGGTTAACGTAAAACTTGGAGGCAAATGATGTTGACCCAGTTTACAATCTGCTTCAAGCAGAAGCACTCCCACATCAGTTGAAAAAAGTCGTGTTGATTGGGAGTGTTCATTTGGTTGGTAGCGATGCGACCGTGAAGCCTAGATTTACTAGTCATTCGTGAACCAGCAAAGTTCAGTTTCATCAAAGGAGCCTCCATTGCTAAGAAAATAGCGCCCCCTCTTGGTCCAGCTCAAGATCCATCATGCTTGATTACAATTTTTTTTGTAAATCTTGGAAATGTACTCACACCTTTAACAGCAGAACATTTTCCTATTTCAGTGTACATGCAATCACACAAGATTACTTGTAGTCTCATATTCAGGAGAACATACATGTAATAAACAATAACACTCCTTCACAACCCACGTCGTGTCAGGAATGGGACACTCACTCCTGGTTTGCGCTGAAGACATTTTAAGCCATGGCAGCTTTCACAGCTTTAAATATCTTCTTCTCTTTTGCGTCACTGTCAATGTAGCCATCTCCATTCTGGAACAGCAACAAAAGAAGGCAACTTACAAGCACTTATCTCAGTTTCTTATAGACCCCACACACTTGGTTCTCAGTGACCATTCCTGTCACACAGCAAGGAACCACTGAAAAAATGTGAGGTGCAAATTTCCGTATTCAGTAAAGCTTGCTAAACCATTGAACATGACCATCAGTTGTTTTTGATCGGTATGTGAGAAGGAGATGATCGTTTGAAGCTTTATTTTTTATCACTCTTCATGCAAACCTGTTACTAGCCAAGAGGAAACATGTACGTAGTTGCGTATGACTCTCCTATGGAGAAAAAAATTCACCAAACTTAGACCTAAATGCTTCCATAAAATTCAACTTTAATATTTACGAGGTACCAGTCAGGAAACCAAACAGGATGGTCCCTGCCAACCACTTTAGGTAAGGGGAAGATAACTTGCTGATACACTGGGTCAATATTGGGTATACCGGTACCTGCTTTTGGCATGCTGCCAAGGCTGAAATCAAGAGCCAGGAAATGGACAAACTGCAAATGTGCACAGACACACGCTGCGCTGAAATTCAGGTCAACTGTAAAAACTTCTCTGTTGTACATGTATAATAAAAATACATGTGCATGTCCACCAAGGACAAATCTTATCCTAGTACAAGGTGCCTACTAATATAAACAATAAGTGTTAATTTTCAGCAATCCATGGTAAGGTGGCATTTATGCAATACTTACAAATACGTCCTGAATTGCCTTTACAGCCTCGGTATATTTATTAATTTCTTTCTAAACCTTGTCATAATCAACTTGTATCATAAGATTACAGCTCACAAGCAGCTATGACAGGAGAAGGGGGGGGAACAGGACTAGCAACAATTTGTTTGAAAACAGTGAACAGCGCCTTGTGTCTTGAACAATTCTGCTGCTCCCACAGCAACTATAAAACACTGCACCCTTACCTTCTTGGAATGGACAAGCTGGCCATTGACAGAGACCTCCAAATAACCGGTTATACCGGGGGTGGACTCCCCAATCTACATGAGCGGAGTACAAGTGCAGCAAATCAAACCAAAGGAACACGACATAGACAAGTTTCAATGACGCGTAAAAAATTCACAGAAAGTGAAAAAAGTACTTGAAGTTTGCACGGGCTCCACTTTGGTCCATTTCAAAATCCACAGGAGGTTTAAAAGATTTTTCAGGACTGAGGCGTGCGCAGCCCTGGAAAGACTGGAGACATATTTGTTTATCTGGGGCTTGAGGCCCCTTGAAATTTATAAGAATAAAGAAGGTGCCACTGTGTTGCCTTGCAGAAAGCTGGAGAAAATGTGGGAAATTTGAAATGTCAAATTTGATGTTACACATACCACACAACTAACGGTATTTGAGACAAGGAGGTTTTTTTCTTGTACACAATTTGATTCAAGGGCTTTCTTTTACTCAGGCATATTTCAACTACTGAATATAATCTCTGTATGCTGATCACTCTGTCAATTACTGTTGATACTTACAATGTCCATCTTGTTCGCATCAAACTCCTCTAACAGAGCTGTTTTCAGCTTCCGAAACTAATAATAAAGAAATGACTGTATGTGAGAGATTGCAAAGTTAACGGTGTGCCATTCATGTTGTCAGTGAAGAAGGAATCACGACCATTACTCATTATGAACTAAAGAGAAAACTTGTAAGAAAATAGGTAGTGCAAATTTCTGGTGCATCACATTTCCTGTGTGTCACTTCATGCTGTAAGAAGCAAAGGGGCAAAACTTGTGTGAACTGTATAGAAAGTGTGAACAAATCTGACATTGAAAGAGGTGACTGTGGTAAGCACACTTAGGAATCCCATGGGAAACCTATCTACTAGAAATTAGCTGAGGCCAGCCCATGAGCACATTCATAATGTAAGAGGGAAGTGGCCACAATTTTAATTGATTGCTGGTATCAAGTTTCATTATGCTCAGCTGACAACCAATTTATCACTTTTGCTACTGTATTTTTTTTCCAATGGCACACTTACTTTGACACCATACCCTCATCCACCACTGCAACATAAGGAAAAGGGAAAAAAGGTGGGGTAAGTGAGCTGTTGAAATACGGTTCACATGATCACAAAGGTGTAATGGCAAAAACCCTCAGTGAAACACTGCAACCAAAGCAACTTTAAAGCTTAACAAAGCATTAAACATCAATTGCAGTTCAGGGATTTTTTTGACACTTTTTACTTGAGAAGCACAAGAGGTCAGATCAAAACCCAATTCTAGATCCAAAGCCCAAACAAAGCAGATTCAACCCAACTAAATAAACCAAAGGTGAAAGCAAGAACCAACAACGTCAAAATAAAATCACACCAATTTTCAGTTACAATATGGCCTCTTTAACATGGTTGACATCTTTTAATTTACATTAGCAACCCAGGGTGTAATATCCAGAATAGGGTATTAACTACATGTACATGCTTGAGAAAGAGACCGACATCATGTCAGAGCATCACTAAGTCCTCATCAAGGAGTGACAGACTACCACGCATATCGAACCCAACCCAGGGCATGGTTGCACTTGCCAAGCACACACATAAAGAAACTTTGCATAATTGGAGACCATCTTTCATTGCACACCAGTCAGCTTTCCATTATTAAGATGATGCAGCGTTTTGAATACCGGTGCAATTTTAAAATCTGGTGTACTGCTTTGCCATGATTAAAACTACAGTACACAGATTACAAGTACAGTGAGCACGATCTCCCCGTCCTTTTGTCCCAGTAAGAGTCTGACTGCAAGTACACATGCATGCTCACATGTACACTGCACCTGTACATCTACTACCCTGGGGACCAGTCCTTTCATGAGGAAGAATCCTGTGACATGCAGGATGCACAGGTAGTATCAGTTGAAGACAACCAGGAAAAACTATTGGATCCCTTTCAGGCTGATTAAAGGTACTAATACTATAAACCTCCAAAGAATCATACAAATGCTTACATGTACAATAAAACTGCCTACAGTTAGATATTAAAAGGCCTTTTTCAAAGGTATACTAATTACTATTACAAAACACTTCTAGGACTTGGGATTGTATGCTGGTACACAGGGAGAACTCCTTATTCTAGACCTTGTCCATTAACAAATCAAACACTGGCTTTCCAAGCAGGACACTGGACAGTCAAGCATAATAAGTTGCTGTTATCAATTACAGCGTCAACACATAACCAAAATAGCCTCTGTTGGGAGTACTTAACCTGTATTTTCAACAATGAAGATGACCTGACCCTTCAGCAGATCCAAGAGAAGGCCAACAGAAATCAATACTGAATGCCATTACTCAGCAAAAAAGGCCCAAACTGAAATGAGTCAACAATTTTCAGCAATGAACTGACATGAAGAGGTTGGTTTTAATACAGTATATTTCTTTCTTTTACTGTGCCTGCATATGACAGGAAGATTAAAAATGTGTATATGTTGTACTCGTACTTTGGGGGAAATTATTTATTTATGTTTGTTTTTAATTTTTCATATATTTACTTTTGGCGACACTTCTTTGGCATGTTTTAACCCTAACGGCCAAGCATATTGTTTTGCTTAAAGTACTCAGTACTACAAAATACTCAGTAATAGCCTGAGCCTAAAGGACCTGTCGCTACAAATTACTACTTCTGGCTAGGTTACTTCCATTGTTACTCGTACAGAGAACAATAAAGCCATGCATTTATAGTGCCACAGCACAGTGTGGTACATTGTCTTTTCTATTGTATTTTATGGCTTCAGAGAACAATATGGTCATGTCCTCATCTAACAAGCGGCAGCACTGATTATTACATTTTACTACAAGTAGTAATTTGTAGTATTATGTACATGTAGGGTTGGGCTACTTAAAGTGAGTCAGAATTTTTTTAAAAGGGTCCATGAAGACCTCCGTGGACAAACTGTTATTTAATTGTTTCAAATATTCATTCCCATGCCAATAACCTGATAAGGGATGTAAAAATGGAATACAATTCTCTTTGCTGTGGTTAATTTTACTGACAACTCAAATGACTGTTTTGACAAATGATGGCGTTATTATGGGCGACGCACATTTGGGAACCCACAATCATAGTCAGGCACCCTTTCGGTTCGTCTAGACCCGAGAGGAATACGGATATTGGACATGCACAACTTTACGCGTCCATGGAATGTTTGAATGTAAAATACATGTCCATGCCCACACACAGGGTAAAAGCATGTCCATACGGCACAGCCAACATACAGTATGAGTAAAGTTCTGCATAATGCGTTGCTGTCGTGGAGTACCAAAAAGGGGCACCATGACTCATACATGAGTACACTGAGTGGAAAGGATGGGCTGCTGGGGCCAATTTCATACAGCTGCTTAAGCACAACATTTTCTTAAGCGTAAAAAAAAAAAACGTGCTTAAAAAAGAAAGGTTACCAGCTCAAATTCTACCTGATTGTCATGCTAACCAAAAGACAGCTAAATACCATTCCCACACAATACACATCACATGGAGTTTGGGTTGGTAACCCGATTTATCAAGCAAGGTTTTTCTTTCACTTCAGCAAATTTTGTGCTTAAGCAGCTCTATGAAATTGGCCCTGCAGATTTGGATGCATACCCTTTGTCATTCACGTTTATGAAAGCTCCTCTTTTTCTTTGTTCATAGGCACTTTTGATTTCCCACAGATCTTGGGCGTGGCCTCTGACTTTAGCAAAACGAGTTGTACATGTTGGGAAGAAAACACTGGCTCAAAATGTGAACATATTTTGCTGTAAATCTGTGATATTTACCATATTGTTATGTGGAAAATAAACAAGACTGATTGACTGATTGATTGAACTGCACCGTTTGGAGCTCGCTATCAGTCCTGACCACTTGGCCCTGGTCAGCCTGACTGTCCAAGTTCATCCAAAGTTCACTTTGGTTGGAAAGTTTTGCAGGCTTGTCCAATCTTTATAGGTGTTGCTGAATGGCATGATCTCTAAAACACCCAAAATTTGACTTATACTCTTTCCTGTGCATGTAGGCCTAAGCATGGTAAGTAGTACCCAGTTGTAACGTAATGAAGACCGGCATCCAGCATAGGCTAGGTAAGTAGATAAAAATCTTGAAATAAAACCATTTCAACACGACTCCACATGGATGTTTATGACGTTACAAGAGTATGTTAATCAAAGGGACATGAAGGGATGACGTCAGTTGTGCTGAAATGGTTACAAAAATAAAGCAGAGAATAAACAGTCACACATCATGAACACGGTTCAGAAAAAAAGGGGATTGTATACTTGGGGACCCCCCATTTTTTTGTCATTTTAATCTTGCAAAATTGATAAGTCCCCCCAAAATCAAATTTTGGGGAAATTTCAAATTGTAAACAGTGAGAAATTGTGATTTTCTAACTGATAAACCAACCATGCATATTTGAATATTCCACCATATGTCATGTGTTAAAATACTCACAGTTTTCCTTCATAATTTCCCTCGAAACTCAAAACCCTGCCCTTTTTTGACAACAGTGAGCATGATGTCACAGTTATCTACATGTACATGATATGTACATCTAGGCCTACCACGGTGAATTCAAAAGCTAGCTTTCCTTTCTATATTATAGGAGCACAGTCCCTAAATTTACAATCCCAAGAAAGAGTTCCATGTACATATTTCTGACAACTGTTATTGAGGGAAGTCAGTGTTGTAAGAAACTCTTTCCAATCAATCTTTGGGAGTTGGCTGGACCAAGGATGCGTAGCCTAACGCCACAGTGTGTGGTTATTAATGCGTGTATGGAGAGCAGAATATGGACCGGAGAGGATGTCTTTGTCACGTAGGCAAGGCCTAGCAGCAGCTAGCAGGGTCCCGAATTGAGAAAAGACTGCCTACTTACCAGTACACAACGGAAATCCTGACCTTCGGCATGCTGGAAATTGCTCCTTATTTTAAAGGGAAGTAGAACAGTTCTTCAATCCTGCGCTCACCTCCAGTGTCGTACACACAACACACGCGATGCGATTCAATGCGATGCGTGTGATGAGCTATTTGCGAATGAGCGATAGATAAAGTCGCCGACCAAGCGCATGGCGCGCCCTGTCGTGCCATGGCCCGAGGAATTTATTCGATTACATTTTCCCGATACTATTCGGTGTCGACTTATGGTATCGCTTGACGAGGCTGTGATCGTGGCGGGGAACTGTAATACGAGTCTGATGGAGAGGGGTGGGATTTGGCAAGACTTTCCAGGAAGCAATCCGGACGTTACCGGATGACGGGGCAAACTACTCGTCATTAACAAACTAATAGTGAAAGGGGTCCATTCAGAGGTAAGTTGAAGCATGAAGATGATTTTCATCCCCATTCCTCTCTTTTTCATGTTGCTTTTTCTTTCACCTTTTTTCTTTCTTCCATTTTTCATGGGGAACCCCGAGTCCCCCGTGGCAATAATCACGAAGAAGGGGCTCAGAGTGGCAGATTGTAACGAGATAGAGATTTTAAAAACAACTTCATAGAACGCTGATAGAACCAAAATCAGTACGAAAAATAGACTTCTCAAAGCAAAATCGAGTCCGTTAAAAAAAAGAAAAAAGTTACATATAAGTTGCAAAAATGTGGGTGAAAATGAAAAAAGTATTGGATATTATGTGTTACAAAAACACCTGAATTGACTTTGATTTGTCATATTGAACGTAAAGGTAAAGGCAAAGGTAACTTTACCCCATCTTCGTGTCAAGCCGTCATTATGGATGGATCCCGACTTACCTTTTTTCTTTTTGGGGTGGGGGTGGGGGGGATAAAGGTAAGGAAGCAGCGTCCCCAGTGCACTTTTGCATAAACTGAATTAAGCAGCCGCTCAGAAATAATCCTGAAAAAACAAAGACGCTGTCCAGACTAACAACCCCTATTTAAGCACTTAATATCTTCACTCTGACTGATGAAAAGAAAAGTCCTCATCGTTTAACGTCACTTGTTGTGCCTACATTAAAGTGCCCTGCCTTTTCAATTATCTTGAAAAAGTTATTTGCTAGCTTTTACTGCGTGCATCAACTGAAACTCAGCAGAATCGACACAAATATGCAATTAGTTGTGGCCCCCAAATCTGCAAAATTAAGGATTATTTGTCAAGCATTCAAAATATGAAATGCAGCTTTATTGCTAAAATCATCTGTGCCATGGCTTGCAACGAACAAACTACCCTTCGTCATGAGGATTGTGGTCATAGCACTAAAATCGTTTTACTGGGTATATGTACTCATCGAAGTATACTGTACGAAATAATCGATTCCACCGAACACATCATAGGTTGTGGCTTCGTACCTAGGCATGGAGAAACAACACAGCTGGAAGGCACCAGGGTCCGTGTACAGTACGTTCCGTTGTTTGATTTGAATAAGAAAAAATCACAAACGTTCCTTTTTCGTTTTTAAATGAGAAAAAGAAAACTACGGAATAAGACGAAGACGTCGTTTCTTGTTTCTAATGTTGAAAATGAAACACAAAAAACGAAAGTAATCTTGCTTTTAATTTGCCTGCACTTGTCTATTTGAGGAGGCGTCACGGATGTCTCTGAGCATTTTTCAGATGAACGTTGAAACGTCAGAATGCGAAAATTTCCTCGTGAGCTGCTCCTTTTACTTTCAGAAGCAACGAATTCCTTGTTCCTCTAGTTCAGCCATGATTAATTTGGTGGATTACAAAGACGTTTCTTTCATTACAAAATGAAAATGGAACTGGGTTCCATTCTTCAAACAGTGGATCAACAGATAACGGCGGTATTCATTGTCACATTGAAAATCGAACAAATAACGTAATCGTCGTTTTTCATTTTTAACTTGAAAGAAACGACAAACGACTTGTTTCTCTTTACCAATTTTGTTTCTAAATAAAAAACGACAAACGACTTATTTTGCGATTTTCATGTTTTGTTTCAAATCGAAAAATGAAAGACAGCTCGTTTTTCGATTTTCATTTTCTGTTTTTAAATCGAAAAACGGAAAACGCCTTTTTTACTGTTTGATTTTCGTTTTCAAATTGACAAACGAATGAACAAAACGTACAAAGACCATACAAGGATTCCGGTTGCTTCAAAAGTAAGGAGAAGCAAATCACAAGAAAATTTCTTTTATGCTCAAGGACAATTTTCATCTTGAGAAGTGCTCTGACACGTCCTCAAAATTGTGCAGTCGAACGAAATTGGGATTAAAATTCAAAACAAGATATAGGCCCTACTTCCGTTTTTCGTTTTCAACAGGAAAAACAAGAAATGACTCCTCAGTCTGTTTGCTCATTTGCGATTTCAAATTTAAACCGAACAATTAAGCCTTGTTTTTTGAGTTTCGAAAAACGGAATAGACTTGTTTTTGTTGTTGTTTGTTTTTCGTTTTCAGATCGAAAACAAAAGAACGAAACATACACGGATCACGGCCCACCGGCGCTGCCGCTGCTCGATTCTCGCGCCAGAGTTGATTTTAGCCATATCTGACTGGGGCGGCGATTCCATTGTCTTGGCACCGATCTGGCACTGCAGCATGTGTTAACTGACTTTTGTGGTTTCGTGTTGACAGGATAATAATGTTTCTTTGTCAGATTTCTTTTAGCTCCCCACCGTGTCGTCCACCGAAGAAAATCGAAACATTTCTTGAAACTTAGACTCTAACTTAGGTTTCCAGTAAGCCAAGGTTTCATAACCGAACGTGCCTGAGAGTCTGACATTATTTGGCCGGTGTTTGACATGATTAATGATGTCATGTTACTGTTACTGTTAGGCCCTAATTGTTAATAACGTCAGTCGTTAATCATTCTAAACAAACTTAAGTGTATACTTTTCACTTGGTTGTCAGTCAACATGTATGTTGGAAAAACAGTTAGAAAAATTCCAACTTGTGAAAAGGCATGCAGCCTGCAGGCTTTAACCCTGATGTGACGACTTCCAATGGACCCGGGGCTCGTCTCTGTCTCTTGCTGCTAAATCTGAATTTTATGGCTTTTATAGTATGTCAATGCAGGGAAGAGGTTGTGATGTCAATGTGTGGGATCCTTCCTTTTAAAACAAAATAATTAAACGATCAACTTTCAAGTAGGCCCAATCATGCAAATGCATTCCTGCTCTACCTTTTCCCTGCATGGTTCATCACGTGGACCCATTCTACGCCACGACCACCGGTACTCATTATATTCCAATCTGTTTGTACTTTCAGTAAAGTGTTACTGCTAGGATGGAGAATTTGAAGTTGTGCTGTTTTCAACGAATGGTAAACCACAAGAGAAACTATTTGCACCCAATGATGAAGCTGATCACCTTCACATTAAAAGCAGGTACACGGACAACCTCGATTGTGTTTTATTACAAAATGAACAAAATGAACAGTTTCAAGATTTGGGTGATCTTGGGAATCCTTTTTAATTTGCCACGTTGTTTTCATGTGTATACGATTGAAATTCAAAATTCTCAGGATCTCTGCCTTCGAGCAGATGTAGACAGAAATGGCAATGTTGTTTTAACGTTTTATCTGCAAGAAACTTCGAAATGCACCTAGAGCAAAATCTTTATCATCCATGCTGGAGCAAAAGAAATCGGCATACATGTAGGTTGTATCCAGTGTGAGTTGGAGTGCTGCCTAACTGGCAAATTCATGAAATAAAAACCATGCTTTTCAGCAGAAATTGTCTTTTCATGCTTAGTGCATGAACTGGTACATCCGCACAGTGAATTCCCACCAAAAGATGTTGCTATATCATCTCTTGTTCCAGCCTAAAGGGTCCATGGCGTTATCTTGGTGTACCGGCTGAGGGAAAATCAAACTCAATTGTCTTGTGCGTGGCTTCAACTTCTGACACTAGAATCATCCGAACTAAACTATGGACACAGCTAACCCAAGCCTTTTCTTTCAATTTCTCTAGGAATTGATGCATAGGCCTATTGCCACCTGAGAATCGAACGTGGTGTGGTCTTTATGTAAGAATTTATTCTGTAAGCCATAAAATTAACCAATGGCATTTAACTCATGTTTTATCTGAAGCTGACGTGTGGAGACGTGGAGCCCCCTGGGTGCCCCTACTTGAAATCTCTGCTGAATCTTGAAGCAGCTTATTTTCTTGTGGTACCTCCTTGAACACACGTGTGCACCCCCGGGTGCCCCCGGAAAAATTTATCCCTAGTTACTCCATTGCCTGCTTGCAGAACCGCTTTCTCGAGTAATCATCCGAAGCTGAACTTTGATATCTGAAAACAAATTTCAAAGTAAAACTAGATGGATCAGTGGGCCCGTAATCACTGAGACGTTTCATTCTGATTGACGCAGCGTTTGTTGGGCTGAGGTCGAGCTCAATGAACTATAGCTCCTTCATTGCGAAACAGAGGTGTCAGATATTAAAGGTGGGGTCTGATATGGACGTTTTTGTCGAAAGCTGCATTCCAAAAAAGCGTTTAACCAAGCCACACGTGTTGGTAACCACGTTTTTTAAAATATCAAATACATTATGTTAAGTGTACTGCATTAATGAACCGTATTCTTGAGTCAAAAGTACTGAAATTCAATACGAGGTTTGCTTTTATTTATAATTTTTTTTCTGGGGGCAGCAATGAATAATGAACGTAAAGTTTAATGACAACTAGGTGCCTGCTTACTTTGATAACTTGATTTCCATTTGTGACAAAAGTACCTTAATTTAAATTCTTTTGCCAGGTTTGAAAAAAATCTATGGAAAATGGGACCAACGGGAATCCTGACAATAGTCTGGTACTATTCCATTCATTAGTTGCTTTTTATTAAAAAATTCCAAAACAAGATAACAATGGATTGTTTAGGAATACAGTTCATTTATTACATGTGGAGCATTTGAAGCAAAATAAATGCTGCATGGCCCTTGTAAACATGTAGTTAGACAAAAAATGTTGAAAAAGCGCTTACTGTTGCCAAAAGTTGCCAAATTTCCGGACATTTGTCCTCCATCAGGGTGACGCTAGGCAATTTTTTAAAAGAACTATTTAAAGAACACTTGAGCACGACCAAACAGTTTGAGTGTAAACAAAGAGGAACAGTGAACAGGGACTGACGCGCTTGTACAACGTGCAATATGCATTAATAGAGGTTCTCTAGGGTAGCAATATATATTATAAATTTGCTTCCAAAGGTCATAGTTTTAAAAGTACATATATCAGGATGCACTTAAACACATCACATCTATCATGGAAGTTGGAACCTATTGTAACTATACGTTGTAAGCATGGTAGGCCTAAGTAGATGAAATTCTTGAAATAAACTCACTTCATCGCAATTCCACAGGATGTTTATGTGTTTGTTTAAGAAAGGGGGGGGTAAACGATATCATATCCTTCCACTTTAAAAAGCAGGGGGATCTCCCCTCTCCTCTCTCCCCTACCGATTGACGCCCAAGGTAATACCTACATTGAAGTGCCCGGCCTTTTCAATTGCATGTATCCTAAAAAAACAATAAATGAATAAATTACAAGTGGCATATGCTAGCTTTTCAAGTGCATGCATCACCTGACACTGAGAAAAATCGACACAAACATGCAATTGAGTTTGGCCCTTAATTTTTCAAAATTAAGGATTATTTGAAAAATGTGAAAAGCAGCATTATCTCCAGAAACGTCTTTACTGTGGCTAAAAAAGCGACGAGCACCCTTCGTCATGTGGATTCTGGTCACAAGTACTGAAATCGTTTTATCGAGTACATGTACTCTTCGAAGCACGTAATAATCGATTCCATAGCGGTCCTTGCCAGGCGCGGCACGCACTAGGCACAACGGAGCTAGCTGGACCAGCCGCTATTTACGCGCCAGACTTGATTTACTTCAGCCTGATCTGATCACGGAGGTACATGTAGATACGTGATTCGATTTTGTTTTGCACCGGCACGTATACTATGCTGCAGCAGTTGACGTGCTTGCTGACTTTGCGATTACCATTTTCAAGTTGATGGGATTATAATGTTTCTTGGTAAGATTTCATTCGATTCTCCACTGTGTCGTCCACCGAAGAAAATCCGAACATTTGTTGAAACTACAGAGGAAGGAAAAAGTAGGCCTAGGCTACATGTAGGCCTACACAGGCCGTCAAATACTCCTCCGTCGTATACTGCGGAGGAGTATTCGTTGGGCCCTGTTCTGTTGCTTGCTCTATGATGTAACATGAAGGCTTGGTGTTTCACTTTGTTTCATAACCTGCTAGTGCTAGCATGGCTGGGGCAACTGACCTGTAAACAGGGCCCTTGCCCACCTATAATCCTTCGTCTTGTAACCTGCATGCCTGACCATGCTGACATATTGTCACTACACTAGGCCTGTGTTTTTATTCCTCCATGGTTTAATTATGTCATTTAGACCTATGTGAATGATCCCATGTGAATGCCTTTGAAGGCTTCAGCATGTTTGGGCCTGCATGGCCTGTTAGCCAAATGTTAACGCCATTTGTTAATCATTCTGAACATAACCTTGATTGCATACTTTTCACTTGCCTAAGTCTATTTGCAGGGACAGAAAACGGACAGGTTTAGGACTGAGAAACATTCCAATAAGCCTATTCGGAATCTCAGCGCACCATGCACTGTGGGTAATATGGCGCCATTTTGAAGGATAAATAACATGTTGCCACTGGCACATACATTGTACCTTTTGATTACAGCAAAGTGGTTAATAAATCTGAAATCAGGTTCGTCAGGAATTCAGAAACAGCTAGCCCAAGTTTAGAGGAGATTCAACATTAGAAAGTGCCAGCACTGAAAGACGCACAATTATATTTGCACTACATATGTGCCCATAGAAAACAATACAAAATCAGACCGAAATAGCACTGCCTTTTTTTTTCACAGAAAATTCAAGATTATGACCAGAAGTTCACTTTTTGTTTCAATTTTACAGGGGTTAGCCATGTGATTTTTTTTCTAATTGCCTTTCCCGAAGATACTCCCGAAATAATAGTAAAACTATGCGCTCAGCTCTGAATGTAGCCTCCCACCACTAGCTCGCAGGTTGGGGCTTTGTTGTGCAAGAAATGCCCTGATCTGGAAACTACTAGTCCCAAATTTGGGATTTATAGAAATACAGTATCTCTATGGTCCCTCCTGATTATGGCATGTCTTATTGTAAAAACCCTGTCGGATCATTAATTATTAATGAGTTCGCGTGCAGAAATCCAACGAGTTGGTGGAATGCCCCCTCAACGGCACGTACAACACAACACGTTGACGCAGAGCGTGATTGTTTTTTTTATCTTCTCTTTCCGTTGCCAGGTCGAAGTTTGCACATGCCCAAATGAGATTGCGAATAGGCTTATTTGTGGAAAGACATGGAGCCTGTAGGCCTTAAACTTAATGTTACAATTTCCATGGGCCTGGGGCTCATCATTCTGCCTCTCTTTGTCTCTTCCCTAGGTCTAGGATATTATTAGGCCGACGAAAGTTGGTCTCTTGGTTCTCGTCACTGCCCGCATGGAAATTTTGGCCCACATCAAAAAAGTTCATCCTTCATCTTTTTCCAAAAGCCGCGTCTGATATCATGGTTCTCCTCATGACATCAGCACCCACATGCAAATTTTGGCCTACATCAAAAAAGGTCACCGCTTTTTTTTTAAAAGGGATCAAGATCGTCAGTCTAAAAACCAAACGCTAGTGTTGTATTGAATTGACGTCTTTGCCAATACGTCAAATGCGCTTGTTGTTTTGGAAATGCATATACAAAATGGTCACGGTTGTGTGTCTCCGTACATATAGAATGCAATATTAAATACAGGCAATTTACAAGAGTGCACCTCCAAGAGTTTGCAACATGTTAGCCAATCACAATGCGTGAAATCTGTAGACCTTAAACGCACATTGGGTCAACAGATTTCGCACATGATAATTGGCACATAACAAATTCTTGGAGGCGCACCCCCATATTGAGGGAGTAGAGGCATTTTGGAAAAGTCAGTGAGGTTATGTGGGCAGAGTTAAATCACTATTTATGATAGGCCTAGATGTACAGTATCATGATGTACAGTTTCATGTGGATACATGTAC